AAAAGTTATTAAGTTAAAGTCATGCCCTTCTTCCCCCAAGTTGCTAGCTGATCAAAGTGACATCAAGATTTATTTTACAAAAATAATGTGTATTGTCACTTACATTAAGCAAATTGCAATAAGAAGTAAAAAATTTTTTTTTTAATTTTTTGCTTGTCAAAGTAAATAAATAGAGACCCCTGGGTTTGGAGAGACCATTATATGGGATTTCCTCTGGAGAATAAAGAAGCAGCTCCTAACTATATTTTTTATATCAAAATGCCTACTATCCAGGTTAATTATAACAGTTAAGTTCACTACTTCTATTATGCTAATGTTACTGATCTTCTCTTCTGGGTGTTCAAACAACCAAAGTTTAGAGACCAGAACTAGAAAGGCAACTGGTCTAAGAAGACAGCCAGTATTTTGGCCCTGACCCTCGAAGGTCAACATCAACAATAACAAAAAGATCCTGGACAGGAGGAAACCTTCTCCAAGATCCGGCATCTTTGGTGAGTCACCCAACCTCCCAAGCAGGGAGGTTGCTGGACACCAAAACAGTAAGATTCAACAAAAAACTGTGCCAAAGGAATGTCACCTGGAGGAAAATCTCCCATGCTTTTGCAGAAAGCAACATGGTCAAGCAAGGCCATGACATATCCTGACAGCTGACACCGACAGAGGAGCTAAGAGGCTCTATGCATGGTTCCAAGACAGTGCCTGAGGAGACTTAATTGACCTGGTAGATAGCAAGAGGTTAATTTTAGTTAATATAGGTCTCACTGTAACTTGGTCTTAAACACCCAGTAGAGAAGTATAACTGCAGATAAAATTTAGACAAGTTGAAATTTTTTGGCTAAAATTTGTTTTTAAAAAAAATATTACATTTATAATCTTTTGACAACCAAAATTGAAACATTAAAATCTGATTTATAGATAATTTCCATTAAGTAGAGGGTCTATGAGTCAATAAGTTACAGGTACTATTTTAGTCCCTTAGAAACAGTTTTTAAATGTGCTTCTTTCCCCAAACTACTTTTTATTTTTAGTGCTTATAGCTTGACTATGCATACTGTAATCTCTTTTAAAATTTTTCTTTTACTTATTCTTGCCTATAAACTGCCAAACTCCAAGTGATCATACTGATAATATCAACAACAAATATGCTACACATTTCTTTACCAATATCCACCAGATATACTTTGTAAAGAGTTTTTATTGGGGGCTGGGAATTTAGCTCAGTGGTGCCATCACCTGCCTCAAAAGCGCAAAGTCCTGAGTTCAATCCCGGATACCAAAAAGAGAGAGAGAGAGAGAGAGAGAGAGAGAGAGAGAGAGAGAGAGAGAGAGTGTATAAGAGAGAGAGAGAGAGAGAGAGAGAGAGAGAGTTTATACTGCTGATTTATAACATAGTTTTCATTTAAGGCCCATTAAATTAGCTCCCTAGAAGAGACCCCTGACTTCAGTCTCCCTTCTCAGCCTGAAGCAGCTGGATAAAATCTGCACCCCTTCTCCCCTAACCGCAGCTGGAGAGAGCCCTTCGATAGCCCTTATTATAGACAACTAAGCCAGTTAAACACACTGTACGGCCTCACAATACATAGTGACAAGCCATTGTTGGGCATGCTCACTTTTCCCTAAAAGTACACTTACATAAAACAAAAAGAAAGGAAGATATGTGAAGAGCAATTCTACATAATTTTGGGGAAGAATCATTTCATAATTATAATTATGATTAGGCCTAGTTCTCCTGCCTACAGTCCAGCTCTGGTATGTTAAGACATAACTCCATTTTGGTCTCCGATCTCTGGTCTTGAGATGCTGTACTGCTCCAGGACAAGATTACACCAGCTGAAGACATCCTGGGAGGAACTAAATTTTCATTTGCATAGTTCCTCATTGTGCTAGGATTTCAGCTGCTGATGTACTGAACTCTCTGTCCTGAGTCATCTGTTAATTTGTTTCTCCTGCTGTACTGAATAAAGGTGTGTCAAGCTCCAGGTCTTTGCTGCCCAGAGCAGCATTGATCAGACCCAAATCTCAGATTCTTCTTTAAGTCTCATTTTTTCTCTTTTCGGTCTAATAAGTTAATTTGCCTTGTGTTGTCATGGCCCGCAGGAGACTAGGACTTACTGCAGAGGTTCTAGTAATGTCCCCTTTTCCCTGTTCCCTACAAACACTCCTTCACTTTTCAGATATGTACTAGGGTGTACAAAGTCAGCTGACTGCACTCAGCTGCTAGCAAAAGTCATGGCCTAGTGAGAGGACTGTTGCCTGCTATGGTGCACCTAGCAGGGAGCATCCACCTGCTTTGCTCCCTGCCTATCTCCAATGCTGCCTTCCTCCTGCCCCAAGAGCAGGGCAGGGCTGTCTGCAAGGAGCAGGCTGGGAAGAGCCTGGAGAGTGGGTAGATGTGGAAATAAATGCTTTGGAGACTATACAGCTCAGCAGGACAAAGGGCCTGATGTGGGGCTTGCATGGTAGGGATGGGCGGGGAGAGAGCAGGTGTTAGTCCTAGGCTTGAGAGCAACCTGAGTACCTCAGGAATGTATCACAGTGGTCACCAAAGAGTCACCTGAGACAAGGCAGAGCCCATGGGCCAGGTCTGGCACTGGACTCCAGGCCTAAGGAAGGATGCAGAAAGATTCTCAGGCCACCATTCACTGTTTGAGATCCACACTTTGGGGCAGTGGCCCTTAGGAGCCATTTGACAATAATCACAGACATTCTGGATTGATTGAGAGAGAGAGAGAGAGAGAGAGAGAGAGAGAGAGTGAGAGAGTGTGTGTGTTGCTGCATACCCTACAGGAAAGCCACCAGCACCAAGTACAATTTGGCCCAGTTGTCAGGATGTTGAGGGTGAGAAGCCTTACGTTAGTTTAGTGCCCAGTTTCATTTAGCCACCTTCACCCAAATGGTGAAGGGTTACTGGACATATAGTATAAAACCTGAGCTCTGTTTACTGATGTTAAGAATTTCATTTCACATGTGCTGTGGAGCTTGTCCAAGAAGGGAAGGATCTTGCTCTTTAAAACCACACACATCTCCTCTCCTCCTGAATCATACTGCAGCTTTTGCTCACCTCTGTGGCCGAAAGGGTTGGACCTCTCTAGAGCCACCACAGGGGGCATGCTTGGTACACAGTTCAACCTGCCCAGCTCATCCCGGAATCCTCTCCTGACAAACCTGACTCACCCACACAGCCCCAGCTTCTGTGTAGTTGAGGATTCCTGCCCACCGGGCTCCTACCACACTGTGTGTCTGGCAGAGCAGAGAACTCTGCATTTTACATACTTGCTTACTGTCAGTTCTCTCTTCCAACAGGATGGGAACTCTACAATGCAGTGCCTGGCACTGATGTCTGTTAAATTAATGTCAGAAAGAAAATAGTGCTTTTTGACTCACCAGTAAAGATATGAAATATTTAGCATAGTCTTCCTTTTCTCACCTCAAGGTTGAGCTTACAAATAAAGTTTTATGGTACACAAACATATTTTCACAGGCATGTTGGTGCCACCAGCCCAGAGGAGAGGAGCTTACAAGGAAGCCTTGTGTACCTCAAGCTGTACTACCTGGCCTTCTACAGATGTTTTCTGATTTTCATTTTTTATTTCCACTATCACGTTTTTTTCACTGTATTTTTTTTCAAGAATATTCTTTTGCTATTGTCACTGGGTCTCATGATTATATTCATAGCAATTCTCACATCTGTAAGAGTAACTCTCAGCCTCAACAGGAACCACCTTGGCCTCATTTGAATTTTTCAGTACCAAGAAACCCATTGGCCTGAGTTTGTCTTTAATTCTCAGTGTAAACTTTCTTTTCTGTACCTCCCATCAACATCTGCAGCGTGAAATGATCCCTATCTTTTCTATCTGGAATTCTCCCATTGAGGGCATCCTAGGAGGACCTTCTGATCAGTGTGACCAAGGGGCTTAAATAATCACAGGCCTCTTTCCTAAGAAATGATTGCTTCTCTGACAGAACAGATTTCAAAGTTCCAGATAGCTGCTAATCTCATTTTGGGAATCCAGGGTTAGCAACGTCACGCTGGGCCAAGCCCCCTGGCACCCAGGCTAAACAGCAACTGAATATGCGTAAGGTAGCAGAAAATCCTATTAATTTAAAAACATGCAGCCTACACTAGGCTGGTGAAATTCAGCCAAGAACATATCCCCCTCACACACACACCGACTACATGTATAGCACATGTCTATGATCCTAAATACTGGGGAGGCTGAGAGGAGGACTGCAAATTCAAGGCCAGCCTGGGCATCAGTGAGACCCTGGATCAAAATAAAAATTTAACAGGGCCAGAGATGTGGCTTTTTGGAGACACTTGCCTGGCATGCATGAGGCTCTAGGTTCAATCTGTAACATACACACATGAAAGAGAGACCAGAATAGAACAAACGTCCCCAGGCAGCATTTCTAATTCTCACCATCTCTGCCATGTACACAGGTCTGTTTTTGCCTGGAGGAAGCAGAGTCTCACTTGTTTTGCTCTCCCAGTATGTAGCTAGCTGCATGCCCACACCTCAAGACAACAGATGCCCAACAGCCATGGAATTAAACTCTATACATAACGCTAACCAATTATTTTTTTAGTCATAAAAATAGACTGGCTAAACACAAATGTAATTCAAAATGGTTATGAACTCTTGGAAAGGTACAAAGTGATCCCCAAGCTCTGTTTAAAAAGATGTGGAATATCTTAAGTATTTCTGCCTAGCTGTGACACTGTTGATTTATATTAGAAACATAGTAATTATGTGGAAGGAACTATTTGGAAAGCAGTGACTGTATTCAACAAAGGAATACAAAACAAATGAGAGCATGACCTTAAACAGTGACCACCCACCCCACCCAAAGTCCATCCACCACTCCAGAGCTCCTGCGTGAGACTAGCACGAACCTGAATCCTTCAGTGATGTATGTGATCATCTCAAACCCAATCCATAAAAATTCTTTAAAAGACACAAACATAATTTTAAATACATAACAGAAACCCATTTGGCTACCTTCACACACATTCTCCAGAGAGAAGTATGTGGTCTGATTGATGTAACCAGCATGTTCCATCAGGGAAGTCACACAGCCAATCAGTACTCGAGGGCTGGAGCCTGTCAGTTGTCCGCCACTGTTTCTGCTGTCATCCTCCCATTTGTCAGAGACAGCTTCTACCTAAAAAACAAAGCAATTTTTAATCTATTGTAAGAGGAGAACAAGGAAAACAAACTTAGCCCAATATCCCTGACTTATTCTCTTTGGACGGGGTCGCCCAAGATCAAGGTGAGGCAGATTCAGTGTCAGGTGAGAATCCACTCTGATTCAGAGTGCCCTCTCGCTGCATCTTCATGTGGTCAAGAGACAAGAGAGCTCTCTGGGGCCTCCTTTGTAAGGGCACAAGGGCTCTATCCTTTCAAAGACTCACCTACTAATATCACCTTAGGATTAGATTTCAACTTATGAATTTATAGGGACACAAGCACTGAGTCTACACCAATCCTGTATGAATACAGGTGCAAAAATCTTCAACAAAGTACTAGCAAACCGAATGCAGCAGCAGAGTAAAAGGATTATATACCATTATAAACCATGTCTGGTTTATCCTAGAAGCAAAAGTGGTTCAATTCTGTTAATATACATCACATTAACAAGATTAAGAAAAAAATATTCCCTTTACAGGAAAAGTATTTATGAAAAAAGGCATTTGACAAGAGTTCAACATTCCTTTACAACATACTCAATAAACCAGGAATAAAAGGAAACTGCTTCAACATGGTAAAGACCATACATGAGTCCACAGCTAACAACCCAATGTTGAAGGATGGACAGCTTCTCCCCTAAGCTCAGCAACTAAATAAGGATGTCCACTCTCAGTACTTCTATTAAACACTGTACTGGAGGTCCTCACCAGAGAGATTAAGCAAAAAAATAAAAATAAATAAAAAATAAATAAAAGGCATCTAAATTAGAAAAGAAGTCATTTCTCTATACACAGATGGCTTAATCTTATATGTAGAAAAAGATAAAGATTCCATCCCCCCAAATACACCCAAAGAAGTCAGAGTCAATAAATGAAATCAGCAAGGTAGTAGGATACAAAGTCAAAACATGAAAACTAGTTTTATTTCTATGTACTTGTGATAGTCTGAAAAGGAAATTAATTAGGAGCCAACTTAACCAAGGATATGGAAGATTGTACACTGAAAACTACTGATGAATGAAACAAAAGCACTAAATATCAGTTCTATGGACTGGAGATACCAAGGGGCTCTACTTTGCACGTAACAACATCTAGGCCAGGGTTGCTTGAAGAACTTTCTGTGACACTGGGAATGTCTTCTAATTGTGCTGCTCAATTCAGCACTAACTAGCTATATTTAGCACTTAAAATGTAGCTAATGAACTAATTTTAAATCATATTTTTAATAAATTTAAATATCTACACATAGCTGGTGGCGACCACACTAAATAATGCAACTTTAGAATTTAAATTATTTTTTATATATGTGCATTATTTTAAAACTTAGGAACATGAAATTAAGTATTAAGATAGTACTTATTAAATAAAACAGTTAAAATATAAATCATTTTTAGAAAGTAAAGAACTCTCAGTACGTTTTCTAGCTTCCAAATTACATGAAAAATACTTTTCTATGTCACAAGGAAAAAAGCATTTGAAAATACTATGCAAAATTATGTTGACAATGAAACAAAATTTCTTGGAAATAAGCTATTGTCAGAACTTTTAAAAGGGGACTACTATTGAACTGTAAAAAGAATAAAAAGGAACACTTAAATAAATGTACATAATTTGTAATTGGAGAAGACTGTAAGTGACCCAAATGTCAATTATCCCAAGCAGAATCTATGCCAAATGCCTTTTTAAATAAATATTTTTCCTGTCAAATAAAGATTTTTTCTTAATCTTGTCAATGTGATGTTTATTAATAGAATTTCAGAAACTCAATGCCATCCAAAGCAAACTGGAGCAGAAAATTAACTACAAAAAGATTAGTCAGAATTTGTGAAGAGTCAGGAAGGTCTCATCTACAAATCAAGTAAAGAAAACAAAACTACAGCATCCATGCCACAAGGGCCTACAGGACAAACTGTGGAATTCCAGAATATGGAAAGCAACCTTCCAAACGAGTAGGGAAAAATGGGTTTTTTAGTGAGACAGGTTAGCCAATTGGGAAGAAATGTCTGGTTTCTTCTGTGTTTATGCACCACAACAAATGTCAGGTATACCATGCATTTAAATGTCAATTAACAAGTAATTTACAGAAAAAAGTTCAGTGAACATTTGTACTAAGAAGTGGAATATACCTAAGAATTCTTACAAAGCCCAAAATCTGCACAGAAAAGACTGATAATACATTTTATTACTTAAAATGAAACGATGAGGGCCGGGGATTTAGCTGAGTGGTTCCACCGCCTGCCTCACAAGCACAAGGACCAGGGTTTGATTTCCCGGTACCAAAAAAAAAGAAACAGTGAAACAAAGTCAAAGATGATCTTGAGGAAAACATGTGTAATCCTTTCATATAATAATTTTTCTTAAAAGGCTCTAATTTTCCTAATAAGCTGAAACCAACCAAAATATGGACAAAGGATATGAAAATAATTCACAGAAAAAAAATCAATGTACTTTAAGACTTATATGTGAATTAAGATCCTAAAATCATTTTTTACTTATTAGATTGGCAAAGATTTCCAAATGATGATACCCAAGCTCGATAATCCTTGTCAAGACCAGGAAGCAGCTGTCTCTCATTCTACTTCTGAGAGTGTAAACTAGTACAACACCATTGGACACTGATTTGATTACAACCATTAAATTATTAAATATGCATACCTTTTTTGTTTGTTTGTTTTTTGAGACAGGGTCTCACCATGTAGTTGAGACTGACCTGGAACTCACTATGTAGCCCAGGCTGGTCTTGAACTCACAGCTATCCTCCTGCCTCAGCCTCCCAAGTGCTGGGATTATAGGTGTGGGCCACCACACCCAGCCAAAATCTGCATACCTTTTGACCTAGAAATTATACGCCTGTGAATTTATTTATTTATTTTTTGTGGTACTGAAGATTGAACTTAGAGCCTTTTCACTGAGTTATATTCTCAGACCTCATTATTATTTTTTATTTTAAGTCCAGTTCTCATTAAGATGTTCAGGTTGGGGCCAAGGATTTACCTCAGTGGCACTGAACCTGCCTCGACAGCATAAGGTCCAGAGTTTGATCCCTGGTACTGCCAAAAAAAAAAAAAAAAAAAAAAAAAAAAAAAAACCAAAAAACCAAAAAACCAAAAAAACCAAAAAACCAAAAAAACAAAACAAGATGCTCAGGTTGGGTTCCAACATGTGATCCTCCTGCCTCAGCTTTCCAGAATTCTGGGATTATAGGCATGTACCACCACACCTGGTTCCGATAATTACAAAAATACGATTTTCATGTGAAAAAGGATGTTGCTGAATAATGAAGTCCACTGATAATCTGTTAATCAGATAACAAAATGTCCAATTATTATAATTTTTAGTAATAACTTTTTAGAACGCTAGAAAGAACTGGTAACAGTCATTTCCATGGCAAACTTTGTCTTTTGAATTATAAACTTCTATGAGGTTTCAATGATTTATTATGAATATGATTTTTTTTCCTGGTACCAGGGATCTAACTCAGGACCTGGTGCTTGCCAGGCAGGCACAACTCCACTGAGCTAAATCCCTGGCCCAACTATGATTTATTTAACAGATATCATTATAAAGAACAAAAGTAAGCTGGGCCTAGGTGGTATATGCTTATAATCCCAGCACTCAGAAGGCAGAGGCAGGAAAGAGAGTTATGCAGTTCAAGGCCCAAATTATACAGTAAGACCTCATTTAAAAAAAAAAAAAAAAAAAGAAAAAAAAAAAAAAAAAAAAAAAACCAGAAAAAAAATCCCTCCTTTTTAAAAGTACTGTCCCTCTTTGCCTATGCCACCTGTGAGAGGCTGAAACTGCTCCTGAATGAACTGAGACTTACCCTGATTGCTTTCAGTCCATTTGACACTTTATTTTCTTCCACAAGTGCAATAACTTCCTGTCCAACATTCAGAACCACACTGCCAGTCACAGCCTCATTGGAGAAGTAGATCAAATCATCAATCATGCCATAATCACTACAGTACCTTGTCACAACACCCTGTACAGTTTTCAACCTGGTGTTACCTGTGATAGATAAGGAAAGCAGTTATACTGGACACAAAAGCAAGCCCTACTACAATTAACCTCTACCTAAAAAGGCAGAACATGAGGGTCCACGTGGGATGTGAACCTAAGGGGCTGGAATTGAGACACGGAGACCCTGTCAGGGAGTAGAGTGTGGGATATAGGGTTTCTGACGCAGAGGTGCAGGTTCTGAGAGCATTGGTGATTGGATACGATGGTGAGAGAGCCCTGACTGCAGAACCAGACTGCCTGGGTTTCATTTAAAAAGATACCCTACTGTCATGTGTCACCCTAGGCCTGGTCCTTAACCACTTTATGCCAGCTTTCATCTATGAAATGGAAACAGTAACCATCAAGACAGAACACATGTGCAATGCAGAGCTTGGAGGAGCTGTCAAGCCCACTGTTGTGAGATTTACGTGAGCATCTGGGGAGTCCTTGGCATGTGCTGCTACTATCACCTTCTCTTATCACCATCAGCAGCAGCCCCTAGGAGGCTGGGTAAGCTCTAATAAAATAAACAAGGCATAAAGTATGAAAAGGCGCATCTGGCCCAGGAGCTGCACAGGCTGTCAGCCTGTGACTTACTATGTTTCAGATCAAGTGTCCCCTAAAGGTCTTGCACGTTCAGAAGATAACTGGGTCAGAGGGCTATGCTCATCCATGGATTCATAGCTGAATGGGTTGATAGAAGGTGGGTGATGTTTCGAGGCGCTCACTGGGGTGTGACCTGGAAGACTGTATTCTTGTCAAGGGCTTTTCTCTTCTCTCTCTGCCTCCTGGCCGCCATGGGGTGTGCAGCTTTCCTCTGCCAGGTCCTTCCACCATTAGATTTCTGCCTTAGCCAGCCAGCTGACCATGGGCTAAACTCTCTGGAAACCATGAGCCGAATTAAATCTCTCTTCAAGTTTTGGGTATTGGGTTTTGTGATCCAATGACAGGAAAGTAACTAAGACACTCATCAAGTGTCTGGAGCTGCAGCCACCCCACTCAAGCTGCACATTCCCTGCCATGTCTGGTGCTCAGGTCACCGTCTGGGAAAGGAAGCTTGGTGCTGTAGAAAGCTGGCGTTGGAGCTCAAGCTGTCACTGAAAGCCCAGGTCTACTCCATTACGAGACCGGCAGAAGCGACTTGCTCTAAGATGGCTAGAGGCAGCAGTGGTACATTTGCACAAAGATGGCCTTTACCACACACTCTCAATTTTACCAGCTTCATTCCTGTTGCCTTTGTAAAACATTTTTTGTGAGGGTCTCACTACGTAGCCCAGGCTGACCTCAAACTCTTGTGGGAATCCTCCTGCCTCAGCCTCCCCAAGTACTGGGATTACATGTGTGCCAACACCACACTTGGTTCCCGTTGGTATTTCTGCCATCTCTCGTGAAGACTTGCACCCTTTTAAAAGTGAGAGTAAGCAATGGGTTGCCAACTTCTCCCTAAAGAAGAGTTCCAGGCTGGGGAAGAAGTTGGAGGGGACATCAAGAGCATTGGAGAGGAGAGTGCTGCCAGGTATTTTAGAAGCTGAGGGAAACTGGCCAACGCTACTCAGAGCTCTGACAGGATGGTGATGTCACCTCGCCCGGTAGTGTGACCAACGGGAGTAAGGGACAGCAAGAACCAGGCTAGGTGTGCCCCTCAGCACTGGAAGCCAGAACGACTGGCAGACTCGGAGTGCGGGGCTGGAAGTCTGTTCTCATGCCCAGGTGAAGAGAAGCCGACCTCCCCGCCCCCAGCATTCCGCACATCGTGGAGGACCCTGTGGGGTAACAGCGGTCTGCGGGATACCCCATTCTCCCCACGCGCACCTTCCACAAGCTCCTCCCCAGGATGCCCGGCCTCCTCCTCAGGGACGTCTTCCCTTCTCCAGAAGAAGGCCACCAACTTGGCCGCGAGGCGCAACATGGCGCCTGCTCGCTCCTGAAGCCAGGCGAAGGCGTGTACACGTGACCTCTGCCTCGGCCAATGAGAGGCCAGCGCCTGCGCCTGCACCTGCCTCCCGTGGGCCTCGGCCAATGGGAGCGCCATGCCTGGTGGGGGGGGGGGCGCCATTTCAGCCAACTGGGGTCATGGAGCATGCGAAGGCCGTTAGCTTTCACAGGTTGGCGGTTGGCATCTTAGCACATGAGGGAAGTCGGGATGCCTCGTGGGAGCTGCGTCACACCTGGTGTACATAGCGCCCCGTGAGTGGGCGTGGCTTCACGTGTTTGGGCGGTGTGCCACATCTGATAGGCGGGGTCTCTGTGCTGTGGGCCTCGGGATTCTGTCCTTCAGCCAAGCGTGATGCCTGCGGGTAGTTTTCTTTTCCTTTTCTTTTCTTTTTGGCACCAGGGATCGAACTCTGGTCCTTGCGCTTGTTAAGGGTAGTTTTCTAGATGTTCTTCATCAAATTGAGCGAACTCATGTGGGCTTGGAGTTTTTTGTAGGAAAGTTTTCAACTACAAATTCAACTTTTGCGTAAATAGGGCTGTCCAGGTTATCAGTGAAGTATTGTGCAAACTTTGGTTTGCTCAAAAATGTCTGTTTTTTAAAGACATTTGTTCATCCAACTTATGAAATCATGGACATAAAGTTGCTCATAGTATTTCCTTTGTGTTTGTGTGATTCTGGCGGTTGAACACAAGGATTTTGCACTGAGCCATACTCAGCCCTTTCAAAATTTTATTTTGAGACAGGGTCTTGCTAAATTGCTGGGATTGGGCTCTAACTTCATTCTCCTGCCTCAGCCTCCCAGAGTGCTGGAATTAGAGAGAGGCATGCACCGCGGTACCAGACCCTTGTTATTTTTTAAAATGTGTGTGATCTACAATGAAGAATTATCTTTAATTCTTGACACAGGTAGTTTAATCATCTTTCCTGTTTTCCTTGTTCAGCCTAATACTTATCAATTTTACTGTCTTTGAAAAAACACCTCTTGTCATGGATCTTTGTTGTGTAAAAAGTAAGTCTTTACTATTTCACTAATTTCTCTTTTATGTCTCACATTTTACTTTTTAGGTCTGGTTTAATTTGTGCTTTTTCCAGCTTCTTAAGGTGGAAAATTAGATAATTTATTTTGAAGCTATCTTTTTTTTGGCTTGGTTTGGTTTTTTTGAGACAGGGTGTCACTATGTAGTTGAGGCTGACCTGGAACTCACTACGTAGCCCAGGCTGGTTTTGAACTCACAGCGATCCTCCTGCCTCAGCCTCCCCAGTGCTGGGATTATGGGCATGTGCTACCATGCCTGGCCTGAAACTGTCTTCTTCTTCTTCTTCTTTTTTTTTTTTTTTTCTTTTTTTTTTTTTTTTGATTTTTTGAGACAGGGTCTTGCTATGTTGTTGAGACTGACCTGGAACTCACTGTGTAGCCCAGGCTGGTCTCAAACTCAGTGATCCTCCTGCCTCAGCCTCCCAAGTGCTGGGATTTCAGGCATGTGACACCACACCTGGCCTGAAACTGTCTTCTTTTTGAAACATAAGCATTTAAAACTAAATTTCTCTTTCACCTAACTTAGCTGCATCCCACAAAGTTGTGCTTGTATTTTCATTTTATTCAGTTTCCAACTTCCCTTGTGATATCCCCTTTGACTCACATAGAACATTTTATTTTGTTTTTGAGGTATATTGTTTAATTTCCATATATTTGGGGGTATTCCTGATGATTTTCTGTCACTGGTTTCCAGTTTAATTTGGTCATAGTCAGCAAAATCTGGATGGTTTCTGTGTTTAAAAACTCTCTGAGGCTTCTGGCCTGAGCATGCCAGCATCGCTTTAGATGGTGTCCTGCAGTGTGGCTGGGTGTCCAGTTCACCTCTGACCACGATGTCTTTATTGTGCTGGATCAGCTCTGTCAGGTTAATGGCAGCCTTTTTCCTGAGAGCCAGAAGAGAGGCACCATTCCTTGAACTCCTCGGAAACATCACCAGGCCGTAGCTGGGAGTGCACATAAAGTGAGAAAGAGCCCAGGGATTTGGGGCATGGCATTTGGTGGAAGAGATGTCCTCAGAGACAAGGGAGTACAGCATTGAGCTTGTGGTCCTGCTCTGGCTTCCTGCCAGGGCCATCTGTGGTGGCACTGCCACTGGCAGGCTTGTCCCCAAGTGCCACCAATACAAGGTGCTGGCTTGGATCCAGGCTCCCCTATGCACACCCCCCCACACCATAACCCCATCATGTCCAGACTGTGACCCTGCTCCAGCCTGCCCATCTCTGGCCTTTTGAACTCAGCCTGTGTCACTGGTGGTAGATGGTGTTGGCTCTTCCAGACCTGTCCAGGGTTGGGTCCCCTCTCATCACTCCCAGGGCTGCCACCTCAGTGCCAGCCAGCACCTGCTCCCCCTCAGCACATCCATCTCAGTCAAAGCCCACGGTCTCCATGTCCGCAGGTGTCTCTTAACCTGGATGCCCCTTGCATTCCAACTCCTAGAATCCTGTACCCTTTCCTCCAGCCTTGCCTTTGCTGCCCCAGGGCCTTTGCACCTAGCATGCCTGAAGCTCTTTTGCCTCCTGCCATGGCTTTCAGCCTGCCTTGGCTCCAATACCTCCTTCTTGACTTCCTGAGTTCTCTTCCTGTATAAAGTCGGGCATAACACAGGGATTCACTAGTCTCTTGTGCTTCTGTTCACACTGGAACATAAACTGTACCTGGGAAGGATGATGGCCACACTGTCTACTTTATAAAATTTGATAAATCCCATGTAAATTAGGAATATGGTTAGGACTGAGCAGGCAGAGGGAAGGAGGGCATTTTAAGAATAATTGCTTGGGCTGGGGATTTAGCTCAGGGGTGCTGCCACCTGCCTCGCAAGATCAAGGTCCCGAGTTCGATTCCCTGTACCACAAAACCAAACCAAACCAAACCAAACCAACCAAAACAAAAGAACAATTGCTTAAAGGTCATGTGAAAGAACAGGATCACTAAGAAACCAGTGTGGCCACCAGCAGTCAGTACGCACTTTTCAGTGGCCACTCAAGGCTTGGGCCTTGTGCGATTTGCTCTGCACCCTAGATTCAAGGTGGCTTGCTTGCCTTTCTGAGTAAAAAAACAACTTTTAAAAGGTAGAAAAAATGGTTGAAATCTATTCGACCTTTTCCTTCACACAAAAAGAAACACAGAAGGACTTGGTCCCTTTGGCCCAATTCCCACTGATTCCATTGACTGCTTTGAAATTCACTACCGAAGTTTGGGAGATTTCCCCATCTCGTCAAAATAATTCTTGACTTCACAGGTAATAGCTTGTGCAAATTATTTCCAGTCCTCTTTGTTGTGTTGAAAAGCTAAAGGCAACTGAACCCCTGGGATTTGGAACCTGATGACTGTGCTCAGGTTTGCTGTGGATTTGTGGTTTAAGAAGCTGGTTTTTCAAAGCATTTTGGTCTGAGGCTTTTTTCAATGTGCACAAAGAAACTGTCACTGGAGCTGCCAGGGTGCCAGTGTCTCTGCGTGAAAAACATTCATGTCCTTTTTCTCTGCCTGGTGAGCAGGAATAAAGGGCACAGCCAGATGGTGCTTGCCAGCTCTTGGGGCTGCCACGGGAACCGACGGGTGGAATCCCAAGCAGTTCAGGGCTGGCTGAGCCAAGCTGAGAACGCAAAAGTTCATGTGACCTTGGGAAGGAGATTTCCATTGTGGGATCACAGGGGATGGAGAAATGCCGCTGGAAAAGGTGTAGACCAGAACTCAGGCTCAGCTGCCTGTGTGGGCACAGGGCTGGCCAGGATTCTGTCCGCAGGGGACTTGCTCTCGGCCACTTGTCTTCCCCCGAGACACCCACCTGGCAGGTCTGTGATGAAGGGGACCAGGGAGGGCCCTTCCTTCCTGTCGGGGCAGGACAGCCCCAGGCCAGTGGTTACACAACCAGTGCAAACATCTCTGGGATCTACTCTCTGGGTCCTCATTGAAATTCAGGAAGTGGTGTCCTCCTTGGCCTAAGTGCAGTTTTGCTGAGCTTTTATTCCATTTGTGAATAGTTCTTGCTGGAAGCCCCTCACCCAGAGACCAGCGTTCCCAACAGCCGGCCGGCAGCGGAGGTAAGCACGCGGGCATGAAGCCCCAAGTTGGGATGACTTTTGGGTTGCTTGGTCAGTTGGGTGTAGGTAGTGAGTCCCCAAGTGGCCTGGGATTCGTGCAGGAAGTTGCAAATGGAGGCTGAAATGTCTTGTACCTGAGACCAGGGTGAAATAGCTAAGTAAATCCAGATTCAGCCCTGAGTTCAGACATTCAGCTCTGTCTTCCCAATAGAGATTTTATTTACTTTTTAGCATCAAGTGCTTATTTTTCCTCTTTAGATTCCTGTCACTTCAGTGCAACCAGTGCTTTTTTGTTTAAAAAAACAAACAAACCAGTGTTTCTTGCAAACAACTCATTGCAATAGGGAGTTTTCAGTGGTGAAAGTCGATGACAACTTGGTGACACTTGAGTGAGTGGCAGCTGTGACTTGAGTCTCGGCACAGCCGTGGTGTTCCCACTCCTGCATGCCTGTCCCCAGTGCCATGACTCGAGATGGACAGTTTAGGGAGGAGCTGGGCTACGACCGGATGCCCACACTGGAGCGAGGTCGGCAGGACGTGGGGCGGCAGGATCCAGGTGGCTTTGGCAGCGACACGAAGCCCAAGGACCTCCAGTTGTCAAAGAGGCTGCCCCCGTGCCTCAGCTACAAGACATGGGTCTTCTCCGTGCTGATGGGGGTGAGTGCTTGGCACCTGCCCTGGGCGTCATCCCTCCTGGGTGGGATGGGCAGGAGCAGGTGCAGAGCCTCCTGGATGCAGCCACATTTATTCTGCCTGTGTCTTCGGTGTCATTTCTCTCAGTCAGCATCTTTCCTGTGGGCCTGCATGGTGGCTCTGCCACCCTAGGAAGGGCAGTCAAGGGGCTACACTGAGCCTGCAGGGTCAGCACTGGGCCAGGGTGGCCACTACAATCCTGGGAACTCCCGTGGGAACGAGGGACCCCCGAGGACCAGTCTGGAAGGGTGCCTGGGGTCGGTTGTGCCCCCTCAAGTGGCCCCGGGCCTTTCCGTTGCCATCTGCAGAGCTGCCTCCTGGTGACCTCGGGCTTCTCACTGTACCTGGGAAACGTGTTTCCCTCTGAGATGGACTACCTGCGCTGTGCTGCTGCCTCTGTAAGCACTGCCCCCATCCACGTCCCGAACCCAGGTTCCTTGTCATGCGCTTGACTTCCCGTGCTCTGGGATTTTGGGTTTCCGTCATGTGTTTCTCATTCAGAAATCTCTGGTGTGACTTTAGTTTCAAGCAGTGTTTAGCTGTACCTCGCCAGTGAGGCAGGCCTGCACTTTGCTCTGCAGAAGCCCATACAGCAATGGCGCTTTGGTTTCTAATGTGCAGCTGCCACCTGCTGCAACTGAGCAAAATCTGCCCTCAGGGACCTTCCTCAGCCCTCAGAACAAAGCTCTGGCAAGGATGCAACCCCTCCCTGCACCTTCCAGAGCCATCCCTCGCCTCTGTCCTTTCCAAAGGGCAGCCCTGGTTGGTCACAATGACCCCTGACCTCGGGCCTAGGCAAACCCTCAACAGGGGCCTTGCTCTGACCCCAGCAGCCATCTGTTACTGGCCCCAGCTCTGCTCCCTCCATCTCTAGCTCAGCCCTAGCCTGTCTTCTGCCAACCTGTCCAGAGCTGTGTACGGATGTCTCCAGGGGTCTCTGCCCTCTGTCCCCTCAGGGCCTGGCCTTCCTTTGCCCACAGGAGTGTCATCAGTATGGCCCACGTCCCTCACCTCCCTCCCACTCCCAACACCCCCTCCACTGGCCCTTGATCCGGCTCAGTGGAGGCAGAGTGTGTAGCCTAGGCAGGGGTCCATGCTCGTGGAGCCCTGGGCTCAAGGGGACACCTCCTCCTCCTCCTTCTTTCTTTCTTTCCATACCACTCTTCAGCTGGGACATCTCTGGTTCTATGCAATCATGGCACATTCTGAGCTGGACGTGGTGGCACTCACAATTCAGAGAGCCCTGTCCCAAAGTGAAAAATGTCTGGGGATGTGGCTTAATGTGAGGCCCTGGGTTCAATCCCCAGCACCTTCCCCATCATGATAAATGTCGGTTAGTTTACATTTGGACTTTCAAGCATATCCAGCTAGAATACTTTTTTTTTTCGTACTGGTGATCAAACTCGGGCCCTTGTGCTTGCAAGGCAGGAAACAAAACCACTGAGCTAAATCCCTGGCCCTAGAATACTTAATATTGAGAATAAATTATTTTGAGGTACCCGGGGACTGTCGATGTCACACAGAATCCTTGCATCAGGAGGCTGGCAACACTTGGTTGCCGATATGACTCAGCTGATTCTGGAAGCTTGAATGTTTTAATACATTATTATTAGATAAACATTGCTCTGTCCCTGAGCTGTGCCCGGCTGCACAGTGCAGTGCTTTGGGTTGTCCCCTGAACTGGCATCGCACTGGGAACAGCAACTCACTGGGCTCTGCTTCCTCTTCAGTGTCTCCCCTCGGCAATCGTGACCTTTGCTGTTTCCAGGAGCAACATCAATGCGGTGAGTGTGGTCTTCCTAAGGCCTCTGCAGACCTGGAAGAAGCCCAGAGTGAGTCAGGGAGGTGGGTCCTGGCCAGGGTTTCCAGTGTTACCCCCAAAGGCAGGGCTTCCTCCCCTCCTCCAGCAGGGCAGCGCCCCCCCAGGTCCTGGAGTCAGTCTTAGGATTTTCAGTGACTTGGAATTCAGCAGACATTGTCTTTCCTCCTTTAACTATGCAAAGAAGGAAACTCTTCCCTTCATGCCTTTCAGATTCCCAGCTTTCAGATATTGTTTGTTTCCACATTTGCCATCACCACTACCTGCTTGATCTGGTTTGGATGCAAACTCATTCTGAACCCATCAGCAATAAATGTGAGTCACTGAGCTGGTGTGGGTTGCACACGGCTTTCCTGTTCTACTGGGACTATGTCCTCCTGCAGTGACACAGTGTGCTTGGGGACTGCTCACATCTGGGGGTGGCTGGGATGGTGCTGGCTAATGTAGAAACGGGTGGCAAATCTTTATTAAAATTGTTTGTTTGTTTTTGTTTTTTGAGACAGGGTCTCACTATGTAGTTGAGACTGACCTGGAACTCACTGTGTAGCCCAGGCTGGTCTTGAACTCACAGCGATCCTCCTGTCTCAGCCTCCCACATGCTGGGATTACAGATGTGAGCCACCACGCCCGACATCTTTATTAAAATTGTTGAGTTTGGCCAGAATTGAGGATTTTGCTTATGCTCCTAAAGAAAAGAATTGTCTATTGCATGAACTCTTTTCATTAATTCCAGTGGGCAGATTTGCTGATAAATAATACTTTAATATCTCTTCTGTAACAGCTCTTAAAAATTAACAGTAACAGGGCTGAGGATGTGGCTCAGTCGTAGAGCACTTGCCAGTCCTATACAAGGCCCTGGCTCAAACGCCAGGACAGCAAAAAAGAAAAAAAAAAAATCCATGTTTCATCAAATCTGTGGTGCTAGTAATTGTAAGACACAGGCACACTATGTGCTACTACAAAAACTGGGAAGACATAGTCTTCAAAGTATGCCTGAACAGAGAAATATTTTTAAAAACCAAGATGAACCTCGCCAGTCTTGCAAAGCAAGAGAAAGGAAGGTTTCAGAAGGAGTACTCGGGCTGCCTAGGAAAGAGAGGTGGTGCCTGCTTACCTGACGCAGCAATGACTAAGAGAGCTCGGGGCAAAGTTGCTGGTGCGAAAATCAGCATAAAGCTTCATTGTACAAACAAAAACTTGAAAATGTCCTAAATATAGATACTGTTTATAGAATTAAGCACATATGAGTTCAGTTCCTCGGAAGACAGCTAGCAAGAGACCTGCCAGACTTCTGGTAGAAGATGTGATGCTGCTGTCTTAGAGACATCCTGGACAGAGGATGGCAAGACAGGCAGGCAGACATCACAGCGAGAGGGTCCGAGTGAATAGCCCTGCAGCTGGAGCCCCTTGAAGAACAGATTGGGGACACCCTGCCCCACAACCAAGATTATTTGAACGCCATCTCCAAAATAGGGTAGGCTTGGTGTAGGGCAGGGGAGCTGTCCCTATGGGGTCTTCCTGGAGCTGCCCCACATGTGTGGACCACAGTTGCTGCCCTGGAACATAGCAAGGGCCTCTGCTTCCCATCTGCCATGGGGATCCACGAGTAGTAAAGGCATAACTAGGGGAAATCGTCTTCCCCACAGACATAGGAACATGCAGTGAGAGAGAGAGCGATGGAGGAAGAAGCAAGCTAAACCTGGGGCAGTGCTCTCTGGGCCATGGCAGAGGAGGGCATTGGGCTGCCCACTGCTGGCCCTGTGGGCTCAGCTCATGTCTGTGGCAACTCTGACACCCATCAGAGTTGGAGAACATTAGGGATTTGCAGGTACATTCTGAAGCATGTGGCACAGACACTGTACTGCCCACAGATACACAGCTGGAGATGTTGCTCATACATCTCTATCAGGAAGTGTGCACCAAAAGACCAGAGCAGCAGCACCTGTCAGTAAAAACCCAAGCATGAGCCCACATCCAACACCCAGAGCCTGAGTGCACAAATGGGAGACGGAACGCAGGACCAAACTGAGAGATGTGTAAGCCCATATTTGCCTGGCCTCTGCTCAGTGTGGCCCATGCTCTGCTAGCCCAGCCCTGGCTTTCCCAGAGCTCACACCTGCGGAATCGCTGCCATACCCAGGCCCAGCATCAGCATCCATTCACAGCCGAGCTCTGGGTGGTCCTGACCACACTGAGCTCTCAGGGTCATTAAGCAGCGGCCAGCACAGACAGGTGAGGCCCCTCCAGAACGTGGTGTTTGAACCACTCAAACTCAGAAACAGGCTGGTTGAAGAACACAGGTGTAGGTGGTAGAATAGGTCATTTGAAGACATGGCTGTCTCTGTGCAGGGTGGGCCAGAGACCAGGCATACCACTCTGTGTGCCACGCTGCTACCCTGTCAGCCATCACCAGGTCCCCTTAGGTATGTGCTCTGACACCTGCCTATTCTTGCCTCCCCCTCCATCTCATCCTGGGTGTGTGGAGCCTGTTCCTCTCCAGGCTCCCAACTGTAGCAGGCCCCTGCGTCCCACTGGTACGTGGCACACAGACCGGTTACCACATTCCAGCCAACAGGGACTTATTTCTTTACAGCCTTCGATACCAGGAGTTCAGTCTCTGGTCATAGTTGTACCTGTGTCCATTCACCCAGAGTGTGGCTGTGCTCTGCGCCTGTACCCCAGCCTGCGGCGCTTGGCCCCAGCTTCTTCCACCTCGGTGTCACCGACTCCCACTGTTCCCCTTGAGAGCCAGTGACTTGTTTTCTCCATGTCTTCTTGGCACGGTGGTTCTGAGCACCTCTCACCTGCCTGTGGCTGTTCTGGGCTTCCTTCCAGCTCATGTTGAAAGCCAGGTCATCTCCTGTTTCAGCCGTTAGCAGCAAGGCTTGCTCCTAGGTGGTACGTTACACTCCTGTGCGGGATGACCCCTGGGTTTGGAGCCTGTCCCCGCATGGCACTGCACTTGCTCTTGTGATAGCTTTGTGAGATGCCCCCGTGTCCCAGGAAAATGCCTTCCCCGCTTTGCGTTTCATTTCAGACTTGATCTCTTTTACTCAAAATATGTTTTAGGGCAAGTTCGCTGAGTTCCTGAACAACTGCAGCTGGAGTTTTGTCATGATTATTTTAAGTCTGTAAAATAATTTTGTGAGAATTGACCTCCTTATCATGTTCCCTCATCCCATCCAGGCACATAGCCTCTGTTTGTTCGTGTCAGCTGGGACGCAGACTGGACTGTTTAGCCAGCTCTGCCCTCTGTGGGGTGGGCTGGGCAGGGGCTGGTCATCCTCTGGCCGCAGCTCCTCCACAGCACCCAGTCTCCACTGTGGCTCCCTGAGTCTCCTCAGGCCCCAGGGAAGTGGCACCTACTGTCCCTGACCCTGGCAGGAACGCCCGCATCCTGGCCCACTCTTTCCCAAATCACCCTGCCTAAATCTCCTCCTGTTACTCCTTTGAGTATTCTATGCCTTGTCAGACCCTGGATGCATAAGGTAGTGGAGGTGTTTTTAAATACTGTTCATGTATTACTAATTTCTAACATTACTACATTGTGAGCAGAATATGCGCTGTAGAGTGCAACAATTCTTTGGAATTCAGGCTCCCTCCCCACCTGGTGCTGAGAATTGAACTCATGACCTTATACTTGCCAGGCAGATGCAGCACCACTGAGCTACCTCCTCGGCCCCTCAGGGCTGATTTGTAGCCCTAATATATGGTCAAGAGTGAGAGTCTCTTGTTTTATTTTACATGGAGAGTTCTGTAGCTAAACTTCTTTGTATTTGTCTTAAAATGTGGGCTCATTACTGTCCAATCTGGTGGACACAGCAGACCAGAAGATGCCTCCACAGGACTGACAGATGACTGCCCATGGATCCTATAGAGAGGGCGCCCTATGCTACAGAGGGCACAGAGGGAAGGACAAGCAGAGGGAGGAGAAGCAACCTGGGCAGGTGGCAGAGAATGGGGGGCAGGCCAGCCGGGGTCTCAGCCTTGGCCGGTTTGGAGAACCTCAGCAGGTGTGGGCATGGGTGTCCCTGGTCACCTGCCTGGTCCCAGCCCCAGAGTGGCTGGACAGGTGAACACTGGCCTAGGGTGTGGGAGCTGAAGGGGTACAGACTGTGAGCTGGTGGTTCACATACTGTGTCGTTGCTGGCTCTGGGAACTAGCCAGCCCTGGAGGGGTGGCTGCCCAGGATCAGCACAGCCCCAGTGTCAAAGACTCAGAAATGCAGAAAATAAGAGACATGGCTAATGTAGTATTTTTCTGATTTTAAGAACACTTATGCTTTTGTCTTTTTTTGATCTATCAGTTTCTGAGAAAAACATTAAATTCTTTACCTATAGCTGATGGTTTATCGATTTCTTCTTGTAGTTCTGTTAGTTATTTATTACTTTATGGTGTGTGTGTGTGTGTGTGTGTGTATGTTTATGTGTGATGGGGGAATGAACCCAAGACTTTGGATATACCAGGCAAGTGCTGTAACACTGAGCTATATCCCAAAGCTTTTTTATTTTATTTTGAGACAGGGCCTTCCTGAGTTTCCCAGGCTGGCCTTGAATCTGCAGTCCTCCTGTCTCAGCTTCCTGAGTATTTGGGATTACAGGCATGTGCCATGGCACCCAGCTACTTTTTGTATTTGGAGGCTCTATTGTTAGTTGAATATGTTTCTACATTCTTGCTTTAATAATTTTATTTTTAAGTTATCAGTTAGATTGAGTTATATATTATTTATTTATCTGTGGTGCTGAGGATCAAGCCCAGGACCTTGCGTATGTAGGCAAGCACTCCCTGGCCAAGCTACAGCTTCGTGTGGCTGTGTGAGTGTGAACAAGTGTGCAGCTTCATGAGCCTGCCCACACATCTGGAGCCTGAACAGCTCCGTCACCCTCAAAGCGCTGTGTGTGCAGAGCTGTTATAAACCTGCACTCAGGCTTTTATGTGAACAAGGAATTGGGGGGGGCAGGCAGATGCAGCCAGGGGCCAAGTGTGCCCACAAAGAGCCTCTTCTCACCTCTGAGTGACGGGGTGCAAAGCGAGGAGCCTGGTAGCTTGGAGGGGTGGGGCTCCCAGGGGAGATACTGAGCCCATGCTCCCTACTCCCTGAGCAGATAAATTTCAACCTCATCCTGCTGCTCTTGTTGGAGCTTCTCATGGCCGCCACCGTCATCATCTCAGCGCGCTCGAGTGAGGAGCCCTGCAGGAAGAAGAAGGTGGGTGGCTCGAGGGGTCCCCATGTACGTCGCAGTCCACAAGGGGGGCTGCCTTGGGTGGAGCTGGTGGCTGAGGGTGGGGACCTGTCCTGCCTCTCCATGCCTGGCCATACATCTCAGGGAGAGACCGAATCTGCTAACTGTCTGTGAACCGCAGCGTGGTCTCAGTGACTCAATCTACTTCAGTGCTGGCCAGTCCAACCCCTCCCTCGTGGCAGCCAGGCACTGCCACCAAGCGGAAGGCCCAGTCCTCCGTGCTTGCGGGCTCAACATGACTTTGTATCTCTCTAGGGCTCCGTCTCCGACAGCGCCCATATTTTGGATGAAATGACGTTTCCTGCTCGGGCCCTAAAGTCCTACTCTGTGAGAAAAAAATTCCCTTTTCTTATTTATCTTATCAGGAGGGTGTGGGCGTGTGTGTGGCTGGACTAAGTCCTTCCATGTATTAAGATGACCATGGATGTGAGGCTCCAGACTTGCTTGCAAAAGAAATTTCAGCCCACTAGGTGCTGTTGACAAGACACCTTGCTTTAAAAGGTGCTAGTGCGCTTGAGTTTTCAGGGTTCCCAGAGTTTGATAAGACATCTATGTGTCAATACAGACATGGCCAGCTGGCCTGTCCAGAGGACATGCAGGGAGTGTCCTGGCTGCTTCCTCCTGTCATTGTCTCTGTCTTGAAAGCCCTTTCTGTTTTTGTTGTTGTTTGCCTCTTGGTTTGGGTTTACTTGTGTCTTTAGTGAAAGGTGGGTTAAAACCTCCTAATCTGAGTGTGACAGTATTGACTTTCTCTGTAATTCTCCCTGAGGTTTGGATGGAGAGTTACGCCTTGTGGCCGTTAGAGTTTTCTTTCGTGCTTTCGTGCGCCTGGCCCATAGTCAGTGTGGCGTCTTCCCTGGCTGTCTGGGGCTCCCATTCACACGCACCTTTCTCCTGTTGTCCCACTCGTCACAGCTACCACGCCTGCTCTTCCCTCTGTTGCACTTTATTCTTCTACTCTATGCATTGCCTTTAGCTGCTTTGTGGTTTGGGGTAGGCTTTTAATTTTTTGCTGTCTTCTGTCATTCTCAAAAGTTTTTCCCAGCATCCCAGGCCAGCAGTTTTCCCCGACATTTCCATGTCTGCAGTGGCCCCATTGCCTGCCTTTTCTGTGAGCTCCCAGCTTCCGGAGGTTTCCATCTGTGTCAGGATTGCTGTCATGTGGGGGCTCTGTTTTCCTTCACCTCTGTGGTCTTGTGGCTTCAAATGCAAGGAGGCCTCGTGGCCTCCGTCCCCAGCTGAAACCTGCACAGCCCCATGGTGAGGCTGGTACTGGGCTCTGAAGGGAGCCCAGTTGCAGGCCAGGGTGGCTCCAGCCACTGTCCAAGGGTGTCTCGTGGCTTTTCCCCTCAGCCTGGCCCAATCCCACCTGAGTGGCATTTGCAGAGCTGTGGCTGGCCCTGGGAGATCCGTGTTTGAAAGCTGTGTTCTGGGCATCTGAGCATTGCCTGCCTCTCAGAGCTGATACACACACACCCTTCAGTACACGGCCCCAGCAAGCTAACACTGTCCCATTGTCTCTTGCAGGTAGTTGAGGTGATTGCTGGCGTCTCTGCTGTCCTTGGTGGGGTCATTGCCCTGAACGTGGATGATGCAGTCTCGGGCCCACACCTCTCAGTGACCTTCTTTTGGATCTTGGTGGCTGTGAGTACTTCTCCTCCTCACACCTGCTGGGTGTGGCTGGTTAGCAGGCTTGTTTTGGGGCACTGAGTCTGGAAAACACCCTGAGAGGGACCCTCTGGCTCCCATCCTGTCCAGTAAGATAAGTCATTGTACAATTTTGTACTAACTGCCATTACTGTTTTATTATTTTTCTGAAGAAAACCAAATACTTTTATTATTCTGTACAATTTTACAATACAATGGACTACTGGAATGTATTACTATTACTAAGTGCTCCTATGGCAAACCCTTAGCACAGTGCCAACCCCAGGATGTGCCTCACTCAGTCCGCTGTCTTGTTACACAGTCCCTTATCCTGTCTCATGGTCCTGCTGTCATGTCAGTCACCATGCCCTTCTGAGCTCACCTGCAACATCATGTTGCTCAGTGTGTGAGAAGCGCATCCGGTGTGCTCCACTCAGCCGCAGCCACAGCCAGGTCTGGGCTCCCGAAGTCCTTCAGAACAGCCTGTCCAGAGCGACTCCTCTTCCTGCCACGCCTCACACTCAAGACTGCGGTCTGTGCCTTGTCACTATAGATGTGGTGCCAAGTGGCCGCATTGCGCCTACTGTCCTACTGGTTTGTCCCATGCTGCTGCCGGCTGTGTGAATTTTTAGTTTAGGGTCCAGTGCTCACCAGGTGGCATCATCTGGGTAGCCTGGCTCCCCCAAGTAAGTGAGGCTCAGAGACATGGGCCCTAGGGGCTGTGCTGACTTGGTGGCCTGGGACCCTTCGGGCCCTGGGACGGGTGCAGAGCTGAGCAGGGTGGAACCTTTCGCCTGGGAAGCTGTGCAGTCTGTAAACACATATGATGCAGCCTGAGCTCATGCCTGGCCTCTGTGGTCTGAAGGTGAGGGCTGTAGGATCACACCTGGGGCTTACTGAGGACAGAGGTCACATTCATGATGGAAGACAGTGTCTTTGTCCCTCCCCAACCCCAGGGTCAACCATGCTGTCATGACCTCCCTGAAACCCTGCTTACCAGAGAGTACGCTAGGCCCCACCAAGTCCTGATCCTGTCCCCTGACCAGCCCTAGCCCCTACTCAGCCTCCTTCCTCCTCCAGAGTGGGCGCAGCTGGGAGTGGAGGTGGGGTGGGGCTCCAGGCGGGGCTCCTGTGGTGCGGGAGAGGGCAGGATAGCGATCTCCAGTGCACTTTGGTAGAAATCAATTATGGGGCCCTGATGTGGGCGTGTCCCTCCCCTGTGAGGGAGGATGGGAACTTGAGAGCTGGGGATAAGGCAGTGCGGGGCCCACCAGGCTCTTCTGGGCACTTGCACCCCAGGGGTGAAGCCTTGGGGGTTGCTGGAGGCACGTCCAGCAGTCAGCCACCTCCCACTGTCCTCACTGTGCCTGCCTCTGTGCTGCTGAGCCAGCTACTTGAAGAAGGGGTTCTGGGTTGCAGAGAGGAGAGGTGTCACCCTAGGCTGTGGTCCAGGTCAGGACTCTGGGAGAGGGTACCTGAGACCTATTGCCAAGAGGTGCTGCCTCTCCAATGAAGCCTCTGTGCCCAGGGGCCACACCCTTCAGAAATGACCAGGCCATGAGGGTGCCAGAGGGGCACATTACTGGGGATTAGATGACCACACTGCAGAGCATGGTCATACATTAGGTCCTGGGTCAGGGGAGACTGTTCTAGAAAAAATACTTCGGGACAACTGGGGATTTGAATACAGGCATGCTGGACCACACAGCTGAACCCATGTCTGCCAGGTGTGGCAGCATTAAGTGTGTGGGTATGAGCCCACGTGTGGCCACAGTTGGGGGACTGAGCGTCAGGTGGAGCCCAGAGGGAACAGATGTGCTGATGTCTGTGAGGGGCTCTGGGGCTTTAGGGTCGCTGGCCTGTGCTCGCAGTTTTTCCACAGCCCTGAAGTTTTAGATAATCACTTGAGGGACGTAGAGTCCACAGAGCCCGCGCAAAAGCCCTTCCCAATGCTCTCAGGGGCCAGGCAGGCCACCTGTCCTGCCCTGGGGATGGAAGGGGTTTCGTGTCACGGTGGAAACCACAAACGTGGACTCTGACATGCTCCAAAGTCCTTCTTTTTCATTCTCTTCTAGTGTTTTCCAAGTGCGATCGCCAGTCATGTGACAGCAGAGTGTCCCAGCAGGTGTCTGGTAGGTTAGGGTCTTGTTCCTTCCATGGTGCCAAGGGCAAAGCTCCAGCTGCAATGGCAGCTGCAGGGGCTGCAGGCAGTGCCAGGCTGAGTGGCCAGCGAGATGGGTGGGCTGAGGCTGGCACCTGCTACTCCACAAAGGGCAGGTCACAGTCCCCAGGGCCCCTGCTTTGGTGCCTTGTCTATGAAAACAGCAGAGGGAGCGTGTGTGTGTGTGTGTGTGTGTGTGTGTGTGTGTGTGTGTGTGTGTGTAAGAAGAAATTCTCAACACTAAAGAGGGAGGGAGGATGAGCCTAGTACTCTTGCTGCTTCCTGTTGCTCTGGGGCCAGTCCTGTTGTGAGGACCATGGCTGACTTGTGAGGGCCAATGGTCTGCTAGGTGAGTGTCACACCCAATGTCAGGGCTTTGTGGCCTCTGCTGCTGAGATGATGAAGGCATCACCCTAGGACTTGGAGGAGGTTACAAGAACAGATTCAGAAGAGCAGAAAAGATGAGTGGTGTCCAGAGGCTATTTTTACAACAGGCTGGAGAACTGTGTGTGAATCCTAAAGATACAAGTGATACACATGGCATGCTCTGAGTTGGTGGGCAGACAGCTTAGCAGGAGCTGCGCACCCACCCCAGCGACCATAATTCACCTTCCCTCCATGGATCTTCTTTTTAACCAGGTGGAGGTGCTGATCACCATCAGCAGCCTCACATCCCCATTGCTATTTACGGCCTCTGGCTACCTGTCGTTCAGTGTGATGCGAGTGGTGGAGATTTTCAAAGACTACCCGACAGCCATCAAAGTATGTACTCACTCACGAGACTCTGAAATTCTCTAAAAATATCATCACTTGCTGCTGGCTTGAGGCTAAGGAGAGTCTTTGGGCAGGTGGGTTATGAACTGGCAGTGGCTGGGACCGATGGGCACTGACCTGGCCACGGTGACTTTGCAGAGTTGGGTGTGGGTGGCCTAGGTTTACCTGTGGCATGAGGTGGGATCTGATTTGCTTTCCCTGTGGATGATGGCACGCTGTCCTCGCCCTTGACTCATCTGTTCTGTCCCTGCTGCTGGCAGCAGTGTCCTGGCTGGTTTTTGCCCAGGCTACTCCTGCATTTCTAGCTCTGAGTCTGCTCAGTGTTAGCATGGCCGTGTAAGAGGCCACCACCTCCTTCACCTTCCCCACGCACATTTCAGAGCCCTTGTGGTTTTGGGAAACACTGCATTGGGGTTTCAATCAGAATCGCATGGTGCTGATAGATCCATTTGGGGAAACCTGAGTGTGGACCTTTCAGTGAAATCTCAAGATATCACCCCTAAGGCTCAGACATATGCAGCTTGACTTTCTTCCAGTGTAATTGGTCTTTTCCCCCAAAGTTTATGAGGAATTTCATACATTGAGAGGACAGCATGGTGAAGTGGTTTGCATTTTCTTTCTCAGTACTGAAATGTCACAGTCACTTCCTCATCTCTGGGACGGACACTCACAGTGTAAAGGACAAGAGGTTTACTTTGGCTCACAGTTTAGTTCCCAGTTGGCCAGCTCCAAAGCACAAATGGTATGGTGGAAGACCATAGTGGAAAAAGCTGCTCACCCCATGGTGGCCTGGAAGCAGAGAGCGTGGAGGAAGGAGCCGGGGAGGGAGAGGCACTCTCCTAGGCCACGTCCCCAGCAGCCTGCCTCCAACCAGGCCCCACCTCCTGGCAGCACATTAGGTTTGTGCTCCCATGATCCACTGTCCAAACACACGAGGCTTTGGGGGCATTTCTTTTTTATCTAAACCATAGCGTGGACATTGGACCCAAGGCCTTTCTACTGAACTACATCCCCAGCCCTTTTTAAATTTTAAATTTTTATTTTAACACAGAGTCTTGCTAAGTTGCTCAGTTGCCCAGACCGAGTTTTCTCTGTGCTCAGAGCATCCACACACATTTTGGAGCAGCTGTGGTTTTATGAAACACTGAATTGGATTTCAACCAGTATTACATTAGATTCATTTGAGGAGACTGGAAAGTGTTGTGACTTACCATGTGAAGTATCTCCAAAGGGGACTTCTGGTGATCTCTCCTTGTGATCTCCCTGTCTCATCCTCCTGGGGGCTGGGACTACAGATGTGCACCTCCATGCCTGGCCTCAGTGGTTCACCCAATGTGTACTACTGAAAGTGAATGTCAGACCTCGGTAACTTGACTGCTCCCCCGAACCTAGATGAAGGACTCCTTTGATGCAGTGATGGCAAAAACAAGACAGGGCCAGGAGCTTGCACCCCTCCCAGGCAGAGCTGCATTGGGGTGGGGGCTTCAGCTGCCTTGTGGCTTTGGTTGAAGGGAGCGGGCAACTGGTTCATGGAGGGACTGAGCTGCTGCTCGGGGAGCAAAGAAGGCAGCAGGGAGTATGGATTCTCTGGGTGGGCTAAAGGCTGGTGGTTCTCGTGGGCCAGGGCCATGGCTCCAAAAGATCTGTCTTCCGGCTGACCTCAGTCATCTCACCCAGAGGCTGCCGAGTCCTTCTGTGTCTGGTGCCATCATCCTGCACAAGCGTCCTGACCTTGTGGGTCCAGGCCCCGTGATAGGGCAGAGGGACATCGGGGGCTTGGGTGTTAGAGGCTTCTGAAGTAGCACAAGGCTGGGGCAGGAAAGAGGAGAGAGACAGAAGATGAAAACACATTCCGGGTCCAAAGGGCAACAGACAGCTAACCTTGCCCTGCCTTCTTGGGCAGAGCATTTCCAAATGGTCAGTGCGCCTGTCTGTACGCACGGAGCTGAGTAGACGCAGACCCGAGGGTTGTGACAGCAGAGATGACAGGCGTGGTGTGAAGACAGAGACCAAGCTTTTGCCCCGTTCCAGTGAGCCCAGACACCTGCAGGCCCGAGGGAAGAGTCCGTGTTGCAGCAGCAAGCACAGTCTTTAGGGCCCCAGAAGTAGCCAGGCGCTGTGGTCACAGCCTGCAGGTCACAGGTGTCACCACAGCAAAGCCAGGGGACCAGCATGGCACTGCCCAGCTGTGCGGCTCCACAGGGAGGGATGTGTAAGCTGACCGGGAACAAGTGAGGCTGGAGGGCTTGTTTATTTTTTTCTTGGCAACGATTTCATACTTCACGCACATCTTTCACTTCTGTGGTCTCGCGGGGGCCTTGTGATGGGTCCGTTCGAACGTGTCCTGCCATACAGGGTAACTGATCACTGTGCCCAAGGCCTTATTTTGTCATCCCGGCCTTCTGTCCCACCATGGTGGTCACTAACTGTCTCACACCCTTCTGTTCTAAAAGTAAGAACAGTCCCCTCCCCTGTACATCGCAAAGCCATTATCACACCTAAGATGGTCAGCATTGTCACGTGATACTGTTTAATGTTCAGCCCTGTATGGGGCCCTTGGCCTGAGTGTCAGGTCACTTTGGGCTCCTCCGTTCGGGCCCTCCTTTCCTCAGGACTCTGTCTGGGCAGTGGCCCTAGCTCTGGACCCCTTTCCTGCACTCCCTCCACAGAGCATGAGCCTGTTGTGATCATCTTTCCAGGGCTGGTCCTCCCCAGACCCCTTTCTCACCTGGGAGGGGAGGGAAGGTGAGGCTGGGTCTCTCCTTCCTTTCCACTGCTGCAAAAGTGAAGTGTGGCAGATGCTTTCCTTTTCTGTGGAGTAACGCTGAAGACTCACCGGGTTTTCAACGTTTTTAGTGTTGTGACCACCCTCACCTTGACCAGATGTGGCCAGTGGAGCTCTGTGCTCCTGGGGACACTGGCCTTTCCTGACAGACATGGAACCTGGCCTAGCACACAGTCTGTGTCCCAGGTGCCCATCCCTTGAGTGGAGGACAGAACACAGGTCTTAAGGCTGGGCTCGCGTGCTCAACCCTTCCTCAGGAGCACTGCTACTGAGCCTTTCCATGGACAGAGCTGGCAAGAACACATTTTTTTTGTGTGTACCGGGGATAGAACTCAGACCTCGTGCTTGAGAGGCAGGCAGCGGCACCACTGAGCTAAATCCCTGGCCCAAGAACACATATTTTAACAACTGTGCCTTTGTATTATATTTCTCACTCCAATTTAACATGTAGGGCTTTTTTTTTAAAGGGGTGACTTCTTTTAAATTTGTATTTCTTTGTTCTTGCTCCAAACAGTTTCCTGTAACATTCACTATCCTTACTGCTCTGCTTTTTATTTTGTGATGCTGGAGAACCCAGGGCTGTGTGAATGCAGGCCAAGTGCTCTATTGCTGAGTTACACCCCTGTCACTTACTACTTTCTTTTGTTTTACAATGCACATAAAATTGTTCTCAATTACAAAAGACCAATGTCACTGCCTACAGCCAGCCACCTACTGAGCAACCTGAAGATTTCCTTTTGTTCTAACATTCACCCTAGAAGGGGCAGTCACTGTGTTATGTGAAGAGGCTGTGCTGTTGATCTGAAACACAGTTAAGTTCAATGGCATCTGGTTGGATTCAATTTTAAGGTTTGGTTCTTTTCCCCTTTTTAATGACATTTTAAAACATCTAACACAATTTGGATGGTTCCAAAGCCAAAGCTGTGTGACAGGTACATTCAGAAGCTGGAGAGCTAGCCCTGTCCACCTGCCTCTGTCATAGGCAAATGTACCAACATTTTCCTCCCTTTCGTCCAACACAGGTAGCACATGGTAATCATTATTCTGTGCAGTTTATCCTGCTGTTTGCTGGTTACCCAAGAGGACCGGAGCTCTTCCTCCCTTTCATTACTCCTGTGCATACATAAACTCAGCAGGCCCGGGCTGTCCCCAGGATGGAAGCTGGGTTGTATTTAATGTCTCCTACTGGGAATAACTTCTGGTGATCATTCTGGTGGCAGAGTTCCATTTTGAATCCAAGCCATCTATTTCCAGCATAATTAGCTGGGAGAGCAACTGCAAGATCTGAGGGGAGATGCATCTATGATACGCTACATCTCAGCTAGTTTCCCTCAGGGGCTGGAGGGGTTGGGGGGCACCTGCTGTTTGGCAGCCACTGCCAGGTGTGTTGAGCTGACTGCTGCACAGGAGAGAGACTCAGCTCAGCAGGAGGGGTGGAGAGCACATTGGCTGTCAAAGGGTGCCCCCATTTCCTGACCAGCAAACTGGGGACTGTGCTGATGTGGGAATGACTGCCCCCTACATGCAAGGGAGGTGCAGAGCCTCGGCCTGGCAGCTGCTCTCCACTCTGCTCAGGATTCTCATGAGTGAGGGTTCCTTGTGTTTGTACGATGACCTGATCACTGTTTCCCTGATGGTGCCTGGCCTGTAAGTCATTGTGTTTCCTGCTGACCCATGACAGAGCATGAGCCACGGTGCTCCATCCTCGGCTCTCCTCGTGGATGTCGGGGTGGAGAGGTAGCCATGTGTCCACAGGGCGCAGCACTGTTATGCCTGTGCTAAAACAGGCCAACAGGAGTGGCAGCAGGACCGGCAGAGCGGGGGTGGTTGCCGTCCAGGTTCCTGAAAATGGGAGGATGCATTTAGATCACCGAGTTGGTGTGGTGGATGCGGCTGTTCCGGGGAAGGCCTAGGGTGGCAGGAGTGTCTGCGGGAGCCACCAGGTCTGCCAGCTGCCCAGCTACTCACACCTCACTGTGCCCACAGGCCTATGATGTGCTGCTGCTGCTGCTGCTGCTTGTGCTGCTCCTGCAGGGCGGCCTCAACACAGGCACCGCCGTGCTGTGTGTGAGCTTCAAAGTCAGTTCCAGGATGCAGGGCACATCGTGGGACGCCCCGGCTGGCCCACCGGAGCACCCCTCGGGGGAGGTGAGTGGTCATCTCAGGTCTCCAAGGGCATGAGGTGACCTCTGTGCCACTCTGCATTTATAAAATACCCCAGAAAAATTTTGAAGAAGTAAGAAATGAAATAGGTTATTTTTAAAACAACGAGAAACATACGAGCCCATTCTTGAGAAGTATTTTGGCTTTGGTTTGCTCAGTCTTAGCTTGCAGGCACACACAGGCCACGTGGGGTCCCCAGAGGCCTAGTGCTTCCTCACTGGGCTTGCAGGGGGTGCCGTGCCGGCCCAGCCTGGCATGCGGGGCTTTTCGTGCTGGGCACTGTGTGCTCTGGTCCTGCAGCCAGGACACAGCCACCTGGACAAAACTCTCCCTTCTAGACCCTCCCTGCCTCTTGGTTCCTCACCTCAGCTCTGTGTCCCGATGTCCCCACGAAAGAGTTGAGGGCTCAGCAGCTCCTCCCTGTGGGCCACCCATTCTGGTGCGTTGTTCCTGGGCAAACATGCCCACTGATCTCAGGGTCTCTGTGCCCTGGGGAAGGACCCAGGTGGCCCTGGCTTTGGGTTCCTGGCTCTGTCTCCAGGTCCTAAGTGAGCGCCCCCTTGATAGTGTCACAGCCAGCAAGGTGCAGAGTCAGGTGAATGGGTTGCTGAGGACGTTACCTCATCACTTAGGTCTCCGGGGTCCTCTCCTTCAGCTGCCAGGTACAGAACTGCTCCGACCTTGGAGTGAAGGGCTGCAGCATTTCTAGGAGAGTGAGCAGAGGTCTTTCCACTTTCCCAGAGTCTCCAGGGCTCCCTTCCTCCCTTCTTTCCTCTGAAGACAAATTAACCCAGGAGTATGCTGGATGCCATCCCGGCATGGCCCTGGCAAGGTGATACTTCCACGGGTGTGGCCCCGGTGACACTGTCCCTCTCTCCATCACAGGTGGCCAGGAGTCCCCTGAAGGAGTTTGACAAGGAGAAAGCCTGGAGAGCCGTCGTGGTGCAGATGGCCCAGTGACTGCAGGATGGGAAACTGAGTGACGCTCCGTGCCCTCTGGGCTCTCAGCAAGTTCAACCTCAGAGACTCTGTCTTGCAGCTCCTACTTTCTAACACATCTCCTTCATTCCACAAGGGCAGCCCACGTTGTGAGGGGACCTTGTTTCTTACCATAGTTTAACTTTGAAGTAGATAAATGGCAACATTTCTGTGATGCATCAGACAGAGTTCAGGGACTTCCGGTGGCCTCACTGTGTGGGGCTCCTGGGGTCAGGGAGGCTCTGGTGCTGCAGTCAGAGGAGGAATCCAGGTGAATGGTGGACCTCGGCCTGGCTTTGTCTGCCCTCTCTGTACTGCCGGCGTGGGCACCACTTGTTCGGGCCTTTCCTTCTGAGATACCCTCACCAGCTTGCCTGCCACACACGGTTTCCCAGTGAGGAGAGGAGGGTGGAGCCACGGCACCCTCCACACAGGCTGCCACTGCCTCTAGCACCGCAACTCCTGCCCACTCTTCCTAGGAACTGACACCAGTCCCAGCAGAAGGCCACCTTCCCCTGGCCCCAGCAGCGTCCCAGGTGTCCTCACATCCAAGTGGAGCTTTGCATGGTCACTGGGGGTGGGACTGAGTCTTGGCCTTTGTGACTGACTGCTTGGTGACCACAACAGTGGAGATCGAGCCCCTCCCTCTATGTCTGCCCGGCTCCTGAAGGGCAAACTCCACCTGAGCTGGGGGACACCTGGTGTCCCAGCACCTCCACGTCCTGGCCCATCCTCCTAACTTACCTGTGTCCAGCCTGGGCCAGCATCTCATGTGAGGCTAGTGTTCCTGAGTGTCCAGCACTCGCACACCTCCACAGAGCCTGTCTGTCACCCTCACCGGTGAGGCTGCAGGCACAGTTTGGGGTGTCATTAGCTTCGGAGTTGGTTGGATACCATCCTCCCATCCCTGAAGGTCACCTGGTTCCTCCAGTGATATGGGCGCCGGTAAGTCTGCAGTGAGCCAGGTGCTTTGCACAAACTGAAAGACACTAAGGTGTGCCCTCACCAGAGTGGGCTACACTAGTCGGCTCCCTGTGGAGTGTTGCGAAGGCCTGAAGGTGAACCGTGTGGCCTGAGCCCCTTAGGACCAGAGGACCAGTAGACCTGCGACATGAAGAAGGTGGGTGGCCTGCCCAGAGGATGAGAGAGTGTCCCAACCTTCCCACCTCTGCACTCAGGTGACCTGAGATGCCAGGACGCGTGACAGGTGGGGCACAGCCATCTCCTGGGGACCAGAGGGTTTGACATTCAGAGCCAGAATGAGGCAGTTGGGGCAGTAGTGCTGGTTTGTGGCTTCTCATGTTAGAGTGCATGAAAACACTGACGTTAAAGAGGGGCTTTAAAAATCGCGCCTTCTATTTACACTTTCATTTGGGGTAGTTTGATCCTTTTGAACAATAAACACTAACATGAAAACGTGGCTGCAGTTTGTTTAATGCTGGGTCTCAAGGGACCTGTTGCCCAGGTTCTGAAGAAGTTGGACTGTTACACAAGTGGGTGAGAGGGAGGAGATGTTCGCTCCCAGTGCGTCCTTCACGTGTGATGACCTGGGCCCAGGCAGCCCAGAGGCCTGGGAGGGTGAAGACCAGAGAGAGTCGGAAGACACCACCAGCTCAGCAGGGGCCATCAACGGCACCCGGTGTGGGCGGCACCACCAAACGAGGAGGAGCTGTAGGTTTTAGCAGTGGGGGGCCCTGCTGGGACGGGCAAGTCTTTCGTCATCTGGGTGACAGATGCACACACGAAAGGAAGTGGATGGAAGGTGGGGGACTCCTGGGGATCAAGTAACACTTGGCTCAAGGACTGGGTGACTCCAGGTGGTGGTAGAGTCTTTCAGGAGTGACCCTTGGGGGTGCCAAGGCCACTCCAGATTCCTCTGTGGGACAGGCCACTCCTGCCACCCTACTGCCCCCGATCTGCAAGGGGACAACCCTGGTCAACAAGGGGACCCAAGGAGTGTAATCTGGGGGGAAAGGAATAAGGGGCTCCAACCCTCCTCCTGGCAGGTGGGGCGGGGCCGTGACAGGGAGGGGCCGGGTGTGACTCGGGTCTTTGTGACTCTGATTGTGTGACCTGACAGCTGCAGGCGACCTTCCCGGCAAATCTGGATGGGGTCCTGGCCACTCTACACACTCTCAACACACATGGCTCGCGGCGCCCAGGACCAAAGCCCAGGACCCGGACCCCGCCTCAGAAGCGAACCGGCACCTCGACCCAGACCCAGGCCTGGACCCCAACCCGAAGCCTGCACTCAGGACCGCAGCCCAGGACCCAGACCTCGACTTCGAACCAGACCCAAAACCAAACCCAGACCATCACCTGGACCAGGGCCCGCACCACCCTCGCCCACCGCTCACCGTCACACCTTGCCTTGCCGCCCCCGCAGCCCCACACCCCGCGCCGGCTGCCGGCAGCATCCAGGCACGGTCACCAAGGGCCACCGCCGGACACGAGGCGAGCTGCACTAGCGGAAGGGACCATGGGCCCGGAATTCTGACCCCCTGAGCCCCAGGATCCCCTCTCCTTGGAATCGTGGGACCCCTTCCCTCCAGACCCAGACCTGACCCCTGGCCCAGACCTGACTCCCAACCCTGATTTGTCGCCCCTTCCCTGATCTGACCCTCATTCCTGATCCCTGACCCTGACCTGTCCCCATGACCCCTGACTGGTCCCTGACCTGACTGTCCTGACCTTTGACTTCCATGACCATTGACCTCTCCCGCTACCCAGACCTGTTCGCCATAGACACGCCCGCGACTCCTGACCTGCCCCCCAGCTCCAGACCTGTTCCCCCATCCCTGACCCTCCCCAGCTGGAACACTGCTCCTGTTCCTCTCCTTGGCTTCTCACCACTACACCCTGCTCCCAGGGTCCTCTGGCAGGAGGAACAAGCTGACCAGGATTGGCATGGAGCAGGTAGAGCGGACACGGCTGTCGTCCACCTTGTCAGATGGAGCCGACAGAGGAGAAAGTGGGTACTGCGTGTTCCCACCAACCTGGACCCTATCTGGATGGGGGCGGTGTCTAGGTCACTGCTGGTAAAGAACAATCCCAGGGAGGAGGTGATGAAGGGCACTGGGCCTGCTGCCTGCCTGCCAGCCCATCTGGGTTTCTCGGGGTTCCCAGCACAGGCTGTGCTTGCCTTGTCAGCCCTGGCCCATGCTCTTTTGTAAATACCTGAAGCCTTGGCAGTGACGCTGCTGTCACAGGAGGGCAAATGTTCAGCTGTGGAGGGAGGAGCTGTGGTCCCTTGTGCTCTCTCCGTGGCCAGTATTGTCCTTGTCCCTGACTAGCTGGTGGTGTCTGTGGCCTCTGTGTTTTTTGTTCTTTTGGTACCAGGGATCAAACTCAGGTCCTTGTCCTTTAGAGGCAGGTGGCGGCACCACTGAGCTAAATCCCTGGCCCATGGCCTCTGTGTTTTAATGCACATGTCCTTCATAGGCCATGGAGCTGGGGCCGGGTGTATGTGTGGGGAGCCCACTAAATGTGGGTCCAGAGAGGGCAATGGAGAGGTTGATGCATAACGTGGAGGCCAGGGACTGCTATCTTTGGGTGTGCTTGTGGGGATCCTGATGGTTGGGTCAGAGATTCCAAGAGGGGGCTGGTGCTGCAGAGGAGTTGGGCCACCTCAGGCCATGCTGTGGGCAGCAGTGGATGGTCCTGGAGAAGAGTCACCAACCTGAGGAGCAGGAGGCTGAGAGAGCCACTTGTCCCCTGGTCACACATTTGAGAGGTCTAGAGAAGATCTCATCCCCAGGGCCAGAGTGCTGGGGCAGGTATGGGGGTGGTGCAGAGAGGATGAGAAAGGTATATTTGTCACTGTTGCATTACTGGGACCGAATCCCCAACACCTACAGTGTAAAGGAGGGAAGGTTTGTTTTGGCTCACAGTTTCAGTGGGTTAGACCATGTCAGCTGGCTCCTAGGCAGGGTTGGAACGGTGGAACGAAAGCTGCTCACAGCACAGTGACCAGGAGGCAGAGAGGGAAGGGAGGAGCCAGAGCTGTATGGTCCACAAGTACACCCCAGGGGCCCATGTCCAGCCAGGCCCTGCCTCCTAACAGCATGGTCAACTGTGGATGAAACCACTGAGGGCACAGTGTCTCATGATCGAATCGGAGCTCTGTCCCGAGCATAGGAGCCTGTGGGGGGCATCCAGATCTAAACCATAATAGCAGGTTGCGGCCTGGTGAGGGATGGCAAGGATGGAGGGGGAGGAAGAGCTTGCCAGGGCCTGGGAGATGGGGGGCCGGAGCTGAAGGCCAGGCCCAGGTTTGGGCAGAATGGGCAATGTGCTGGGAGAGTGCGGGCAGCAGCAATCTCGGGTCTGTGTCCTAGTATCTGGTGTTGGAGTCACCAGCTAACCAAACAGTTATCTGGATGCTGTTTTCTTTGCTTTGATGTCTGTTTTTTCTTCTGCAGAGTTAAAACAAGGAATTTCTCGAGACTCAGCTTCTTCCCCCAAAATAGACAGATACAAAATGGCAAGACAGTTAACAGAAAAGGCAATCAAGGTAAGTACCCAGAGGGAGGGGATGCTTTGTAGAAATGGAAATGTAAACCAGGTTTAATGCAATCGCAGTACACCTGGGAGGCTGAGGCAGGAGGATTGAGAGTTTGAACCTAGTCTGGGAGACTTAGTGAAACCCTGTCTCAAATTTAAAAAAAAAATAAAGTAAAAAATAGCTGGGGATGTGGCTCAGGGCAAAAGGCCCTGGGTTCAATTCCCAGTACCACAAAAACAAAAAGCAATTTATTTTGGAATTGGGACAGTGTGTCGTCCTCTGGCCTGGTTGGCCTTGTCCTACATACAGGCCTATGGGACTGCACCCTCTGTGGCAGCTGGGTAGACTTTGAAGCAGGTAGTGCTCCCTACCCCAGCCATGAAGGGAAGCCATGCTTCCGCAGCATCCTGCTCTTGTCCAGTCACCCAGGCAGAAAGCTTCACGTGTCAGGGTCAAGGACAGCACCTCAGCCGCTGAGAGCCCCTGGGGTGGTTCACACTGCTGCCCCCTGGTGGTGGGGAGGAGAGGAACCTGGGAATCTAAAATGGCCTGGCCTTGCCCCTGGGTTGCGCGTGGGACCCCTTTGCTCTGGAATCATGCACTTGGATCTAGGGGAGATCGGGAAGGTGCCGGGTTTCTGAGAATGGAAGCAGTGGCTCCATGTCTAACGCCCCAAGAATGTGAAAGTCAGACAAGCCATGGAAAGGCTGCTTCTCTGTCTTCATTATGTGTGTTTCTGTGGCGCCAAGGGCCTGGATGGGCCAAGAAGACTGAGAAAGCCCATGTACGAAAAACGTCCTCTTCCTGTAAGTCTCTTCCTAGGCACAACATGTGTGAGGCGTGCACAGACTGAGTGCAAGGTGGGTGGCGTCACAAGCCAGACAGGGAAGCAGCACCCTCCACGTGCACCTGGCAGGTAGTGTGACCGAGGCCATCTTACCCCTCGGAGGTCCCCCAGATCCTGGTAACCCTGGGGTGCTCTCCATGGGCTCCATCCATGACCTTCTAGCCTTTCTGGAATTTTGTATGAGGAGTGCCCTATATCTGCTCCTTCATTTTCAGATTTTCTTCTGGAAACTTTGAATGTATAGGCACTTAGCGCTACAAATAGCCCTCTGAGTGCTTCTTTGGCTGCCTTTCACACACTTTTATTTAGTAGCATTTTTTTAACGTTCAGTCTGAAGTATTTTATAAGTTCTATTACTACTTTTTCATGGACACATGGCTTACTTGAAAGTATGGCTCTTAATGTCTATGCAGTAGATTTGGGGGGTGCCGGGGACCAAACTCCAGACCTTGTGCTTGTGAGGCAGGCAGCGGAACTATGCTGTAGATTTTTGTAGTTACAATTGTTTTGTCTTCCAGCTGCTTTGCATAGTGGCTGAGAATGTGATTTGTGTCGTTATTTGATGGAGCTTTGTGAGACTTGCTCTGTGCCTGATGTGGTGTTATTGTAAGAAGGACTCAGTATAGGCTTCTGTGTCCACGGGGAAGAGTGGGTAAATCACGTTGTTCGTGTCTTCTGTGGCCCCACTGAATTTCTTATCCCTGTTCTGCCATTGATAGAGAAGCAGGCAGAGGTGCCTACTTTATGGGTTTCTGCTTTATATGATTCTTGTCTTCTTGACAGGACATGGAAATGATCTTTCCAGTGAATTGAGTCTTTTAAAAATTATGAAATGGTTTCTTTACTTTAGTAATGTCTGTCTGTCCTAAGGACTGTTCTTTCATCACTATATCCTATTATTTTCTAACGTTTTTGTAAGTTTGTGTGTTTTTTTTTTTTGATCTCTTGTAAATAATGGAGTTGACTCTAAAGGGACTCTAGGAAGGCCCTCTGCCCTTTCCCTGGAGCATGGATCTATGCACCCTTAGCTATGCATATCTGAGACCACTGCACCTCACACCTCTCTCTCCCCTGTCTTATTTGCTCACTTGTTTCCTGGCTGCTGTGGGATAGATACTTTTTTTATTCTATTTCCCCTACCTTATATGTTAGAAATCTTATACTCTGTTCTGTTTTCGTGGTCCTCATAGTGTAGGAACCAGCCTGTGAACTCGAACCTGACCAAGGGGTGATGAGGATGAAAAGTAAAGAGACACAGAATCAGGTTAAGATGTGGAGGGTTGGGGGCTCTTGTCTCTCTTTGACGGAGAGCCCCGAGTGACTGGTGCACCTGGGCACCCGGACTTTATTCACTCAGACACGGGCACAAGCAGTTAGAGTTACGCAGAGTTCATCTGTCTCCCACTCTCCATGGTACTTAACAGCAGGAGCTCATTTTTTTACTTCCCCATGTCGCATGTCAACACACTTGCATGCCACCTTTCTCTCTAGTGCTCACCAAGGAGACCAGTGAGGCCTCAATCTTCATATCTGGTCGCCCGCACCATAGGAATCATATTTGACTATGAAAATCAATCAATTTTTGTAGTTATTAAATTTCCGGCAACACACAGGGTACAGAGGGCAGGGTTCAGAGCCTGGGGTGCAGCCTTGCCTGGCAGGCCCTGGACACAGCCTGGAGAAGTGCAGAGCCCTTTGAGCGGGTCCCCTGGCCAGTAGGGGGTGAACTAAAGTCAGGTTCAGGTACAAGTGGCAGGCTTCTCTGGTGTGGGTCCTGGTGGGCTGTGTCCGCTGTGGGACCCATGCTGGTGGTTGTTGGTTGGATTCCTTGGTGACCCTTTGGTCCTCTATGTGGAAATGCATTTGCTGTCCCTGGTAAGGAATGAGTTATCTGGCCCTTAGCTGCATGGTACTCGCACCCCTGACCTCCCCTTCCTCCCTATGGTCATGAGCCTTGCACAGCAGGCTGTCCCCAAGCTGAAGTCCCTCTTGACTTTGTGCTGGCCCTGCAGGTATCCTGGTTCATCTCCTGGAGGTATCACAGCCTGTTGCTCCTGGGAACATCTCTGCTCTTTGGGGTCTGTGTGGCTAGATCCCCTCATTTCATCCCAGGACAGTCTGACCTTTCATTAATTCAGCTCTACCTGTTAAGGGCCTTGATTCTATGTTCTGAATATGGTCACATTTGCACATGAGTTGGGCACTTGGGGATGACAACCCATCACCCTGTGTGCCCTGGGTTCTTTAGAACAGTACAAGGCTTGTTGTAGGGCTGGTCAATGGGTCACCCCTGGATATCTACCCCAACTCCTGCCTGGCCCCTGCTGACTATGCTGTGCCACTGACCCTCTGTCCTCAGCTGTCACCCATCACCTTGGTTCTGTGGTACCGCAGACTGTCGGTCTGTTTTCTGTTGTTGTAGCAAAACCCTGAGGCTGAACTCTGCATTAAGGAAAAGGGTTACTTGCCTCCCAGTGCTGGAGGCTGACCCAGAACAGCCTTGGTGAGCCCTTGTGGGTGGCACCATGGCAAGAGCGTGTGTGGCAGGGAGAGCACGTGGTGAATGAAAGCCAGGAGATTCAGGGTCAGGCCTGGTCCTTTATAACAAGTGGCTCTGGTGAAAGCCATCCCTGCTGAGACCAGCATCTGCTGCGCAAGGCAAGGCCCCATGGCTGGGAACCCCCTCCGCCCACCTGTCACCACACAGTGCCGACACTGCTGCTCCTGCTCTGGGCCCTCAGGACAAACACGTCCACCCGTGGCCATGGCTGGCTCTCCTGCCCATGCCCTGGACAGCTCTGTGCTCCCTGCCATCAGCCCCCAGCCACCTTGTCCCCAAGCAGCTAAGCCATGGCCAGGTAGTTGCCACGGCTGCCACACCTTCCAGGCTGGCGGCTGACTCCCTGCTCACCCATCCTGGTCTCCTTTGTTAGCCCCAGGTGTCCTTGGTCCTCCGGAACATGAGGGGGGACAGTTACCTCTGCAGAGATGAAAGCCGCACACGATGGACCTCAGGGCTGTTGCCTGACCAGGGCTCCCGCATAGCTGTGTCTCCTCTCACCTCCTGCGTCCAGCACTCAAAGCAGAGACGGCTCCCCTTAGCCCCAGCTGTGTGTGAGAGTGTGCTAGTGAGTGTATGAATGTGAGTGTGTAGCTCTGCACCAGGCCTTCCAGTGAAGTGGACACACAGAGCAATGATGTCCCTCAGGTGGGCTGTCGGTGAGCCGTGCTACATGCACAAACCTGCTCACACTTGCCCACACACACATGTATGCACACATACACAGGCACAGCCCCGTTCCTGCTCCAGAGGTCTCTGCACAGACCGCACTGTCCCCACAGGGAGCTCCTGGTGTTCTCCCACCAGGATATCACCACCTTGTTCTGTGGTGCTGTGCCCAGACATGCTCTACCCTTTCAGGAGAAGAAAATCTTTGCCATCTTCGGACACTACCCGGTGATCCGGGCCACTCTGCGGAGGAAGGGCTGGGTGGAGAAGAAATCCCACTTCCTGCCCAAGGTCCTCCCAGGCCCCGAGGACGAAGACAATGGTGTCACTGGTAGAGTAACGGGGGCACCTAACCTTTCTGCATAGGGTGTCTATTGTAGGGCTGGGGAGCTGGTCATCCTGCACGTGAGGACACCCACACCTCTGGGGTCTGATCCACTATCCTACCACCCCCAGGCATCCTATCCAGTACTGGTCATTTCCTGGTGGCCCTGTGTCCCCGCCCTGGCTGTCCCTCCCCCAGCCACTCCTCCAGCTCCCTGAAGGCCACTCCCAGGCTTCCACGGTGCAGCTGGTCATCCCCAGAACTCTGCCCAGTGGGTCTGTCCTGGATGGATCCCACAGTGACGGAGACCCAGGTCAAACATCCTCTCCCATCCATACCTTACATCCCGAGACTCTGCCATGCTCACCCTGAGGGTGCCTGGGACTCCTGGATCCCTGAGCACAGCCCTCGTTGGGTGGGAACAGGTGGCCCACAAAGGGACAGGGCATCTGGGGTGACCGTGTTCCGTCTGCCTGCTGTGGGGACTGAGTGTTATTGGGCTCCTCAGGGCGGCACCAGCTTCACTAGCGTCTCTCTCACATGTGTCATCTGCAGATAACAAACATGCTGAGGTCCGGGCAGATCAGGAAGTGGCTTCAGGGAAAGCGGAAGACATCCACGAGGTGATGGTAGGTCCCTGAACATTTTGTGAGCTGCCCTCATGCCCACCTCCCTGGGGCCTGTCTCAGGGGAGGACAGCAGATGGGTCACATCTCTGTGCCCAGCAGCCAGGGCCTGGCCACCCGGGGGCAGGGTGGGCTGGCTGAACTGGAGGGGGCCCTGGAGAACCTGGCTTCTGCTCTACTTCTTTCCCCATGAAGGACCACACAGCTGGCACCTGCAAGTTCTCAATGAATGTGGGCAACTGTGCGGTGCTCTGAGGCCTGGGCTGGGTTGGCAGCCAGGTCTGTGGGAGCCCACTGCCTGTAGCAGCTGCCCCTGCCTTGCCACCACACTCTGCCTGGCTCCTCTGGGGTTCAGCCCACCACACTCTTCCACGAACAGGACATAAAGGTTAACCTCAGGTCAAGCATGGTGCTGCACATCTGTAATCCCAGCACTCTAGGAGGTTTAGGCAAGGGGATTCCAAGTTTGAGTCCAGCATGAACAATTTAGTGACTTAGTGAACCCCTGTCTCAAAATTTTGAAAGTTGGCAATGCAGCTAAGTGCAAAGGTCCTGGGTTCAATCCCCAGTGCCTCAAAAAAAAAAAAAATTAACCACAAAGTGGGAGAGGATATTTTCAATACATATAATTTTAAAGACTGGGATACATTTAAGAATATAAGTAGAAATATAGAACGTGACATGTAGAAAACAGGCAAAGTTGTGACCAGATACCTCAAAGTGGCCAGTGAGAACATCGTTTTAAACTCATGACATTCCATTTCTGTATGGTAGCAATCTTCCCCTTACCTAGTCTACTAGGTGCTGCTGTAAAAGAGCACCAGGAGGCTGGAGTCCAGGTTCAGATGCTCTGTCAGGCGAGGGTCTTCCTGCTGTGACATCATCAGTGGCTGAAACAGAGCTGAGCGTGCAAGATGGGCCTCAACCTGTGCCTTCTCTGCTCCTTTCATGGGGTTTAGAGTCACCACCCAAAGCCCTCCCAGTGTCATAGCCCGGGATTTCTGGCACGCACTTCTGGGAATGCACTCAGACCACAGCTGACACTGGTGAAGCCTCCATGTGCAGCCCAGAAGGAAAACAGGGTCCCAGCCCAGCCTGCGTGACCAGTGCTGGGCCCTGGAAGCTTCTCAGGACAGAGAGGCATTTCCATGTACAGGTCTGTGACTGACATCCAGCCAGGCACTCCCCTAGTTCACAGATAGCTGAATCCTCACTGGTCCTTATGAGGTGGAAACAGGGTGAGGGTCTCTGGGGCCCACATCCCATCCCTAGGGCTCCACGCGTCAGCCTTCATCACCTCCCAGAGGACGTTATGTTGGAAGTGAGTACATCAGGGTGTGAACTTGGGAACACAACTTTCCTTCAGGACAAGTGGGAGGGGGGAGCAGAGACACAGGCAGTGGTGAGCGGTAGGGGTGATGGGTGGGGACGTCTACTCTACCACTGACACCCAACCTAGGACCTGGGGTCACTGTGCCCTTTTGTGCTTTACACCTCCATGTAACATGTTAAAAGTGAGATTTCCACCTGAAACTAACAGTAAAAGCCATCATTACTGGCCTGAGGTAGGAAAAGGAGGCCAGATCAGGAGAAAGAACAGCATGTGTGGAGTCCCGCCAGGCCTGAGATTTGTAGAAGGCAGTGACTACGTGGAGCAGAGTAGGAGGGTGTCCCAGACCGGCACCACCAGGAGACCAAAGCAAACGGATCCACACTGTGGGACCTCAGGCATGGGCCATGCATGCACATGTGTGCTTCTGTATGTGTGCTGCATGTTTGTCTGCAGGAGCTGACCCAGAATCATCTTCATCAAGGCAGGGGTCAGAGGTTACCCAGGACCTTGGAGAGCACTTTTCCAGTTAGACATTTGGAGCAAACACACACTGCTGCTTGTAGACAGACAGTCACCAACAGCAAGAACGCTCAGCCACAGGTGTCTGCTGCACCCCAGATCCTTCTGCACTGCCCTGCCCAGTGGGGGTCCCACCTCTCAGGGCGAGGGAGGGGCCATACAGTAGTTTCCCTCCTGTAGGCTCTGCTTCTGGTCACCCCGTGACCCCAGGTGGTGTTGCCTCAAGTCACTCCTGGTCACCTGGAGAGGGCAGCTCAGACACCTGATAAGTCCAGGCAGGGGACATAGCTGGCTTCTGGGGAGAGGAATCCTGTGTGGTCCCAGCCGCTCCCACCCCAGCATGAGTGGGCTGTCAAAGGAGTGTGTGGCCCACATCCAAGATGGAACAGTCGGGTAGAATGTCACTGGTTCCTACTCCCCCTGGAACCCAGGGCCTTCACACTGAGCTGCATCCCCAATCCTTTATCACTTACTTTTATTTTGACACAGGGTCTTACTAAGTCATGAAGTTGCCCAGCGTGGGCTCTAACTTGTGGTCCTCCTGCCTCAGCCTCCAGAGTACAGGGGTGCGTCACCCTACCTGGCTTTCAGCTTTGTCCCATCTGCGCAGAGAAAAGGAACTGTGAACGCTGGGTGTTGATAGAAGTTTCTCCTTGCCAGTCTAGGTTGCTAAAGAACGAAACACCGTACTTCCTCTGGACTGTCAAAAGGGGCGTTGCAGATTATCACAACCTGAGCTCTGACCAGATGCTGAACCACTATGGGAAGACGGCGTCCTTCACCACCAAGGTGGGTGGGAGGGCGTGGCACTAGTCCTCGGGCTGGCTGGTCTGCGAAGGAGAGGGAGCCTGGGACTGCGGGGCTCTGGCTCCTCCCCGACTCCTCCTTCTTCTGGGTGTTAGTGGGCACTGCCCCTCCCTCCACCTCAGGGCACCCCTTCTGTGCTCTGCTCTGTGTCTGGGTGGCCCCAGGGCCTCAGAAACCCCACCTCAGGCTGGGCAGGTGAAACCCGAGCTGGGTCCCCGGTTGGGCGGGCACTGTCTGCCTCCCGGGCCCTGACTCTTCTGTCCCTGGAGATCGGGCTGTGTGTCAGCATGCGGAGCCTGCCGTGGTTTGTCCGGGCGAACCCTGATGCCTTCTTCCCGCGCTGCTACAGCCTCTGCACAGAGGGTGAGAAGCAGGAGTTTGTGGGTGAGTGACGGGGCCCCCAAGGACCTCGGCTCACTAAGCTGGGCATGCGGTAAAGGCGGGGAGAAGGCCCAGAGACCCCAGTTCAGGCCCTGTGCCAGGCTGTAGAGTCTCAGCTACCTGGCATTAGGGAGGGACCTCAGAGAGCCCTGGTGCTGTCTGAGTGGGTCTTCAGGTTAAGGGGTGGGGCCTGGGAGGGAGGACCAGGGAGAGGACAGGCAGTGGGGGCTGAACATCGGGTGAGCCTTGGTGTCTTCCAGATGATTTCCGGTGCACTATGGCCTCCAGCATCCTCAAGTGGGTCGTCAGCCACCAGAGCTGCCTGAGAAGCAAGTCCAGGAGCCAGAAGGAGGAGGCCAGGCTTGGCCAAGAGAGTGTCAGGACAGGTGTGGAAGGCAGGGCCTGGAAACCTCAGGGCAGGGTCTGGCAGAGAGTGTCGCTGGGCATCTGAAGGAGGCAAGGTCACCTCTGATTCATGCTGTGCCTGACAGCTCATCTGTGGGCCTGCAGCATCACAGCCACCCTGCTGCAGCGCTCTGACACCGGCACTGCACCGAGCATCCTCATCCTCTGTCACCTGAGGGTCCAGGGAGACCCAACAGCCCTGGCGCTCTCTGTAGAGGGGCCTGAGGAGGGCGACAGCCTCTGCTCCTGATGGTGTAGGGACACAGGCATGTCCACATGCTTTTAAGATTTTGTTCTCCTTTTGGGCCGGGGATTTAGCCCAGTAGTTCTGCCGCTTGCCTTGCAAGCACAAGGTCCCAAGTTTGATCCCTGGTACCAAAACAACAACAACAACAACAACAACAAAACAAAACAAAAACAAAAACCCTAAAAACTTTGTTCACTTTAATAAAATGTTTTTTTAGAGTAATTTTAAATTCACAGCAAATGAGTAGACTCAGGGTTTTTCTCTCCCATTGGCCCCATTGCACAGCCAGCCCTCTGGTCCCCAGCTGAGCAGAGCACTTGTCATTTTGTCGTAAGGCAGATGGTTCTTTTGTCATTCTGCGGTACTTGAGATTGAACCTAGGGAGCACTGATCTACTTGCCAGCCTTTTTTATGTTGATACAGAGTCTGTCTAGGCTGCCCATGCGTACCTCAAACATGTTGCCCTCTTGTTTCTGCCTCCTAAGTAACTGAGGTTACGGACAAAGTGCTACAGTGTCCAAAAATGCATCAAAATGTTAATGAGTATATTTGAGCAAATAGCTTTTTGTGAGTCAGGCAGCCCCAGGCCACCGCAGGTGGAGAAGGGACAGACTTGTAGATTGCATGTGGACACAGAGCAAAAAGTGCTAAGGTCTGAGCAGTTGCCTTGTTTGGACTACCTCGGAGTATCAAGACATGTAACTGAAACCACTGTGTCAGCTGTGACCTGCTGAGCTTGCTCCAGGAAACCACTGGTCCTTGTGCCATTCCTGGTTTGGCTTTCCCAGAATGTCATGTGGTTGGAATCACACAGGTCCTCTCAGACTGGCCCCATTCACTTTGCAGCAAACTTTTAAGGTTCTTCACATCTTTTCCTGGCTTACTAGCTCCTTTGCTTTCTCTGCGGACCAGAGTTCCACAGTCTGGCTGGGCCAAGGTCTGGGTACCCACCCACCCACCAAAGGACATCTTTATGCTTCCAACCTATGGCAGTCATGGGTGAATCTGCAGCAGATGTCTGCGCGCAAGCTTCTGTGTGACCAAGTTTTCAGCTCATTTAGCTAAATGCTAAGGAGCGTAATTGCTGGATGATGTGTCAAGAATGTGATTAGTTTTGTGAGAAACTCCTGGCTGTTTTACATTCCCTACCAGTCACCACTGAGCAATGTCCTGCTGTTTCCTCTTGTTATCTGCACTTGGTGCTGTGTTCTGGGTTTCTGCCCTTCTACTGGGTCTGTCATGGTATCATATCTTTGTGTTAACGTGCAGCTCCATAGTGACATGTGCTGTTGTGCATCTTTTTATGTGGCCTTTGCTATCTGTCCCTCTCCTTTGGTGATGTGTATGCTCAGATCCCCTGTTCAGTTTTAAACCGGGTTATTCATTTTCTTACTGTTGAGTTTCGAGAGCTCTCTGTTTACTCTGAATGCCATCTATGAGATGGTGTAAATATGTTTGCCCAACCTCCAGTGTCTTCTCGTTTTCCACTTTCCGTTCCAGCTCTTATACATATTTTGTTAGGTTTATTTGTACCCAAGTATTTCATTCTTGGGTACTCAGGTAAATGACAGTTTGTATTAATTTCAAATTCTAACTGTTCTTCACTGTTGTATAAGAAAGCAATTGACCATAATCACTTATTACCCCCAGGGTATTTTGTTTTATTTTTCTTCAATTCTTTTTTATTTTCTACACAATTATATCATCTGTAAATAAAGACAGGTTTTTTTTCTTCCTTCTCAATCTGTATACTTCTCATTTCCTTTTCTTGTCCTATAGCTTTGGCTAGGATTTCCAGTACAATGTTGAAAAGCAGTGTAAGAGGGAATAGCCTTGCCTTTTTCCTTATTCTAGCAAGAAGGCTGCTAATTTCTCACCATGAAGTATGATGCTAACAGTATATTTTGTAATTATTCTTTAGTATGTTGAAGAAGGGCTTCTCTAATCCTAGTGTGCTGAGAGTTTTTGTCACTAATGAGTATTGGATTTTGTCATGCTTTTTTGCCATCTGGTAGTGTAGCTTTTTCTTTGGCCTGTTAATGTGATTCATTGAGTAAGCTTGGTGTTTTCAGATGTGGGACAGTGACATATGCTCAGACTAGAAAGGTGAAATGTTTAGTTTATTGCTCCAGAGTATGCAGGTCCAGGTGACAGCCAGAGATGGGACATTATAACGGACACTGAGGCAGCAGTAGGTGAATTTCAAATGTTGAGCCAGGCTTTCATAACCTGAACAAATCCTGCTCAATTGTGTAGTTATTTTTCTTCTATGGGATTAAATCTGCTAGAATTTCATTGAGATTTTTGCATCTATGTTTAGAGAGATGAAGATTTGTAGTTTTCTTTCCTTGTAACGGCCCTTTGGTTTTAGCATCAAGGTAATGTGACCTCATAGAATGAGTGCAGAAGTATTCCTTATAGAGAATTAATATAATTTCTTCCTTACATATTAGCTTTCTGCAGTAGCCAGCTTTCCATTGCCGTGAAAAAGAACTTAAAGGAAGAAAAGGTTTATTTTGTTCATGGTTTCAGAGGTCTCAGTCTACAGTCAGCTGGTTCCACAGGTTTCAGGCCTGTGGTGAGGCAGAAAGCATCACAACAGCAGCGTGTGAAGTGGAGCAGGAAAGAACAAGCCAGAGCCCCAAAAGAAGGTGTGAAGGGCAAGACAGGTCACCAAAGTCACCCTCAGATGACACACTCCCTTCAGCTAGGCCCCACTCCTGTTTCTATCACTTTCCAATAATGCCATGAAATTATTATCTCAGCAGCGGATTAAAGTACTGAGGCAGTTAGAACCTCCAGTTAGAGTTAGAATAAAACATTCCACGGTTTACATTTCTTCCTAAGCACTGCTTTTGCATCTTGAAAATTTTGGTAAGTTTGATAAGTCATGCTTTCATTGTCATTTAATGCAATTCCTTTCTCTCTCTCTCTCTCTCTCTCTCTCTCTCCTTCCTTCCTTCCTTCCTTCCTTCTTTCCTGGAGATTGAACCTAGAGTTTTTGCCCTGAGCTGTATCTTCAACCCTTTTTATTTTTTATTCTGGGACAAGGGTCTTGCTAAGTCACCAAGTTCCCCAGGCTTGAATTTGTGATCCTCTTGCTTTGGCCTCCCAGAATGCTGGGATTACAGGCATGCATCACCATGCCTGGCTTTAAATTTCTATTATTTAGAATTGTATTCTTGCAGGGTGTGGTGGCACATGCCTGTAATCCCAGCATTCGAGAGGCTGAGGCACGAGGATCACTGAGAGTTCGAGACCAGCCTGGGCTATGTAGTGAGTTCCAGGTCAGTCTGAACTACATAGTGAGACCCTGGCTCAAAAAAAAAAAAAAAAAAAAAGAATTGTATTCTTTAATCTCCAAGTACTTCAGGATTTCCCAACTATCTTTCTCTTACTGATTTGCAGTTTAATCCCATTGTGGCCTGAAGGTAGACAATGGTTTCTGTTTTTAAAAATTTCTTAGCATGTGTTTTGGTTCTGGTTCTGGTTTTGGTACTGGGGATTGAACTCAGGACCTTGTACCTGAAAGGCAGTTGTGGTGCCACTGAGCCAATACCCCCAGTGTTAATGTGTATTTTGTGGCCCGGTTGTGGTCTGTCTTGGCAAATGTTCCACGTGGACTTACAACACGTGTACACCTCTGTGGCTGGAATGCTGTGTAGACTTCATTCATGTGCAGGTGATGGATGGTGTGTGTCTGTCTCCTTACTGCCTTGCTGCTGGACCTGTCCACTTCCCATACAAGGATGTGGGAGGCTCCAAGCCTCGTAGCAGATGTATCTTGCTTTGTCCTTGAAGATCTGTCAGTTTTTCACTCATGAGTTTTGAAGCTGTGTTGTTAAGACATACATTTTAAGCATCGTTGGGAACTGACTGCTTTTCCTTTCCTTTTTCTTTTTTTTAAAACCCTGATATTTTTCCTTGCTTTGAGGTCTATTCTTTAGGAAATGACTGTAGCAACTTTATTTTGATTCCTGTTAGCAAGATGTATCTTTTAATCTAATGCATCTTTCCACTTAGAGTTTCTTACAGAAAACATATGTAGTTCAGTCCTGTTTACTAGACTTCAGCAACCTCATCTTTTAATTTGTTCATTTAGGCCACTGACATTTGTTGAACTCCGCGATATTTGCTCCCATCTTCTATTTGTTGCCCTTATTCTTTGTTCCTGTTTTCGCATCTTCTCTTCTTCTTGTTTTATTTTTTATTTTTATTTTTTTGGTACCAGGGATAGTGCCCAGGACCTTGTGCTTGTGAGGCAGGTGAGGTGCCACTGAACTAAATCCCCGGCCCTACCCATCCTCTCTTCGTGCCATTTGAGGCATGCAGTGAGGCCCCTGCCCTGCCCTGCCCAACTTCAGAGGACTCTGCTCTGTAGCCTGTGCTTCTCTGAGCCAACCTGGCTGTCTCTCTAGTTGTGGGGATGCTGGCTTTGCCTCTGATCTCACCTCTCCAGAGAGAGTTGCTGAGTTTTCCGTTTATTCAGCTTTTCCTGTTAGGAAGGAGTGGTGCCATCCGCACTCCTCCCTCTTTGAAACTAGAGGTGCCATTGTTCACTGCAAGTTGGTTTATTGTGTATTCAGGAAATTTCACCTCAACAGAATCATAAATGCCTGCTGTAACCTCTGCAGTTGCCCCATGAACTCCAAGCTCTAGCCCCAACCCTTGGGCTCCCCACAGTTGGGTGGGCAGGGTATTCTCAGCTGGGGCATTTGAGGCTCACTTTTCATCACAGACTCCTGGGCCTTGGGACACAGGAAGGGTCAGGAGCTGAGAGCCACCAGGCCACACGAGTGTGCGCCCTGTGAGGTGCTGTAGCCCCAGGGGTGACACTCACAGCAAGCTGAGGACACAGGTGGGAGGGAAGAGGTCACTGCCCAGCAGCAAGTACATCCCTGGGTGCCCTGCAGCTAAGGGTGGGTGGCAGTGTCCCTGCAGCGGACCCTCTCCAGCATCAATGCTTGGGTTCTAGATCCCGAGGGTGCTGGCGAGAAGCCCAAGGGCCTCCCAGGGAAGCTGGTGGACATGGCCTGCCGGGTGTGCCAGGCCTACCTGGGGCAGCGGGAGCACGAGGACATCGACAGGTTGGGGAGCAGCACAGAAGGCCTGTCTGAGACTGAGTGGAGTGACCTGACCCGGCAGTACTACGCCCTGGTCCGGTGAGACGCGCAGGCGGGGATTTGGGCGTCTGTCTGGTGTCAGGGTGCCCAACCCCTGATGCCTGTCCCCTCAGCCCCGCTGGCTGTCAAGAGGACAGCACTCTCAGGTGCCTCTGGAGTGATGTCACCTCTGCACCTTCTGAGCCCCTTTCTTGCTTGGTCTCCTTTGAACCCACAACATCCCCTGACATTTTGTTCCATTTTGTGGCCAAGCCACCTGGCTCACTCTGGCAGACCCTGTTGACCCTCATTGCCCTGGGTCCGTGTCTTCCAGGCTAGGTCAGCAGCAGGCACCCGAGGACCTCCAGGTAATGCAAGGGAAATACTACACCACCCACCCAGTTAGATGTCTATACATGGAGTTCGTGTTCTCTGAAAAACTGAAGAATGAATTCTAGGAACGATGGAGGTTAAAAATAGGAAAATACTCACTGAGAGGAGGGCTTCTGAGAGGCAGGAGGGGTCTCAAGGCCCCCACTTTACGGGAATTTTTTATAGAGCAAAAACATGAAGGTACAATGTGGGTTAAAGCAATGATCAACCAGTCAGATTACAAGTGCGGTTGCTTAGGCAATGGCAATCCAAGTGTGAAGCAAGTCACGTGGCAAGAGCTCACAGCGAGAGCAGAGAACTTCCGGGCAGGTGAAGGACTGAGACGACTGAGGCCTATGTGGATTTGCCCAGACCAGGCGTCATCACCCATCTCATCGCGGGGAAGTACGTAGGCCTGGTCCTTCCGTGGTCTCCTTGAGACCCGGCCCTCACCGGATGTGTCTCTGGCCGCAGCTGCAGTGTCCTTTCACCTTTTGTCCTGGCTCTCTCCAGGGCTCGGCCCTGCTTGACTGCCTACTATAATTTTTCCTAACTCGGCCGTCTGTAATACTAGTCACCAGCTTCCATCCTGAAACCCTGCCGTCGCGTTTAGTCTGGCAATGTTCCACTGGTGAGGAGCACTTGTTGGTTTTATTTGGCTTGGGCTTTGTGTTTTTTGAGGGGTGGGAGGTTGCAGGTTTGGTCTCAAAAAGCCTTCTTCCCCGCTTCGTTCTCCAGAGGAAATTTTCTCTGGAGTAAGATTCTCCACTTGCAAAGGTTGCGTCTGGGTGCTGTCAGATGCCATGCCATTGTCTGGCCACCTTCATCTTTGTTATCTTTTATAGGTGTGGTCTTTGTTCCCTGGAAGATGATGTCTGTTTGGCTGGCACCGCTACAATTCCATCTTTTGCTTCTTAGTTGTGATGTTTCTGGAAACTGTTTTCAGATATCCTTGTGGGGATCTGTGGGTGTCTTGGGTCTCTGGGGTGCGAAGTCCCTAGTCCATTGCTTTTGCCCATTCTCTGTGGCCCTCCAGGGAGCCTCCTGCTCACGTGTCACGCCGTGCCTCACCTTCTTCTCCTCCTGCAACTCCACACACAGGGACATCACTGTCCCCAGTGTCTCTGACCCCAGGCTCTTCCGCATGACCTCCATGTAGCCCTTCTAACATCCTTGTCTGATCCTAGCCTGCGTGCTGTCCCTATGAGCCTATTTTTTACCCCAATGCTCTGGCCAGCATTTAGTGACTGTGTGTTTATGACCTAATTCATCACTGGAAGAGCTCCTCCTACTGACTCATCCTTCTCACAGATTTCCCTTGTCTTTTTTTTTTTTTGAGACAGGGTCTCACTATGTAGTTGAGTCTGACCCGGAACTCACTATGTAGCCCAGGCTGGTTTTGAATTCACAGCGATCCTCCTGCCTCAGCCTCCCAAGTGCTGGGTTTACAGATGTGTGCCACCACGCCCGGCTTCCCTTGTCGTCTTGTATATGAGTCACTCTAGATGCATTTCCATCTGGCTCAGGAAGGTGGTCACTTTCCTCGTTTATTAGCATCATATGCATCCTTTGGCGCGGTCACTTTTGAGTCTCCTGCTCATTCTTCTCCTGTCCTGTTTGTCCCCTCCCACTCTCCGTAGGGTTCTATGTGTGTTCTGCCTGAGAGTTCGTGTCTGATGCATGTGTTGTGAACAACCGCACCCATTCTGTGGGGCCCAGCTTACCTGCTCCTCCTTGTGACTGGCACTTGGGTCACTGTCCAGGTTGCATGGACAGAAGGTGTGAGTGGCCCAAAATTTGGAATGGAAAACAATCTATCCTGAGGCTGACTCCGCCAACTTGGGCCATGATCCTCAGGCTGGAGGAATCTGATTTTTTTCTTATCTAAGTTAAAAACTATATTTAGACTTATAATTTGATTGCCATAGAAGTTCACTTATTATATATGTACAAGTCAGTGAATTTCAGCAATTTCATAGAGTGGTTCAGCAGCTGCCACAGTTAGCTTTGGAGCATTGGTTTCTTGTGATTCCTGTAAATCTCTTTCCTCTGTCCCGTATTCATACCCAGTCCTCCCCAACACCAGTGTGTTTTTCTCTCTCTTTCTTTCTCTCTGTAGCTTGTACTGTCTGGTATTTAAAGCCAGAAATTTTTTAAAAAGTTAGATTTTTTAGGGTTAGGGATTTGGCTCAGGGGTGCCTGCACATGCCTCGTAAGCGCAAGGACCGGAGTTCTATCCCTGGTACCAAAAAAAAAAAAAAGAAGAAGATAAATCATGGAACATTAACAACAAGAAAGCTGTTATGGCTCTATTAATATCATATAGAGGAAGCTTTAAAGCAAGAAAGTTACTAGGCAGAAAGACAGACAATATTTCACAATAATAAAAAGTGTCTGTTCATCAGGACACAATTCCAAATTCAGATGTAATTAGTAAAGTAGCCTCAGATAAATTTATGCTCATAGTTTGGAGTCTTTAACACACTTCTCCCAGTTCCTGATAGACACCAATAAAAATTACTAAAGATACAGACTCTGAACAACATTGCTGACCAACTGAGCCTTGCGGACCTGTCGGGAATACTCAGTGCGGTGAGTAGGAGGCCCACATCTTTTCTGAGGGGGGAGCCAGTACTTGGAATTGAACCCGAGGCCTCTGCACTGAGCTGCATCCTTAGCCCTTTTAAATTTTTTATTTTGAGATAGGGTCCCCCTAAGTCACCAAGTTACCCAGCTTGATCCTACAGTAAGCAGTGTGAGCTTGGGTTAAATAGATGAACAGACAATGCGTCAAATCAGTGCAGAGGAAGCCGTCACAGGCAGGACCCGGGCTTACGCACCCTGCATCCTGCTTCACAGGCTCCCAAAGCTAATCTGCGATGTGTCAAGTGATGAGTGAAAGTTAAAACACATTGCAACAGGGCTGGGGATTTAGTTCAGGGGCACCGTGCTTGCCTTACAGGCTCGGGGTCCTGAGTTCAATCCCCGGTATAAAGAAAAAAAAAAAGGCAACAGTGAAAAGATGGATAAAATGCATTTTGTTGATCTTGAGGACTCTGCTTCTGAGCCAGGTGCAGTGGGGACACCTGTAATCTCAACATTCTGGGAGCCTGTGGCAGGGGGGAATCACAAGTTCAACCCCAACCTGGGCGACTTAGTGACTTAGGAGGACCCTGTCTCAAAATTA